AAGCGCATGGAAACCACAATAAATATATCACCAAATTCTTTGGTGTTCTACCTTGGATTGTGCAAACAAAATCCCGTCAAGCCTGACCTACAGTTTCTGGCTATATTCACCTAAACCCCTAACTACAACCACGCTGCGTTGTTGACCTCGGGAGCCCCGTAAGGCTGCAGAGCCGAAAGATCAGTCTGCTGCCCCGAGGACTTCTGTGCCAACTCCCAACCCAGGGAGGATGGGATGAGATGACAGTAAGGGGAAAAGAAACCTGAACGTGCCTCTCCTCCTCCCTCTAACCTCAAATAAACAACTGAAAAACTAAAAGCCCAACATGGTCTGCATGTCAGAGACTTCTGCTTAAGCCTGGTTCGGCTGGATGGCACCTGAGTGCCATTGAGCTGTGATGGCCTCCCTGGGGTGACCCCGGCAGGGATTTACCCTCGGCTGAGGGTCTCTCTCCAGGCATGGTGTATTGGGAGGAGGCTGCCAGCTCTGAAAAAGAAAGCACCAAAGTTAATAGTAACATCAGCCAGGGAAGCAGTGTTCTACACAAAACAGAAACGGTTTCTCTCTGTCCCCCAGGAGGTTATGGAGTGGCTGCAAGTGCTTGACCTTAATCAGAGATAGAGCCTGTCGGCATCCTCATTGGAAGTGATTACACCTTGAGCGTTAGCAGGTGGGTGGGGATTTCAAAAGGCAAATTCAGGTTTAATGTCAGAGCACACAGCTCCAGTTCCAGGGTGAGGGGCTGATCTCCTCTGGGTTGGTGTCTGCCGAGTCAATCAACTTGCTCTGAGTTCTCCCTGCTGTCTGTGAGATCACAATTTCTTGTAAATGTTTTTACTAATCGGTCTGGCAAAATCCTGAGATTTCCTGTGTCTTTCTTCAATGCTCGGAATACTCAGTTCATGACCTATTTGTTAAAAATAATGGTAATTGGAATTTCTGAGGAATAGCTGTTTTGTTCAGTGAGTAAAAAACCTATTAGGATTTGTATTTCATTTATCCGCTGTGACCTTTTCTTGTGATGTAGAGTTATGGCTGAATTCCAGAAATGAAATTTCTGAAGGGAGAGTTTCATTTTTAGGTTTAAAATTATTTTGATGCCAATTTGCAGTTGCTCGCCCGTACTGCTTCTGCCACTGTAACAGAAATTGCGGCATACCTTTCCTCTTTGTTTAGTCCATTCTTCCTGATTTAATTTAACATGAGACAGAAAACCAGCAATATGTGAGGCCTTAGCAAACCCAATGGTACGGTGTGCTGTTTTCCTTGCTTTTTAGAGGCCTTTAATATTGCTGGATATATTAAAAATCTTCCTTAATATAGGCAAATTATTTAAAATAGTTAATAATGCACTAAAAAAAGGTTTGTGTGAAATCAACAGGAAAATTTCTGTGGGGTGAGGATATTCCTCCCTGTTTTTTTAATCTCTTGGCTTTTGCATAGGGTATCTGTTATGCAATTTTTTGATCATGGGCCACATCCACTGTTAATATTCATGCTGGGGGAAGGCTGCCAGTGTAAGTCAGCTGAAGATCTGCTGCAGTGCGTACCTGGTATAAATAAAGTTACCAGGGTGAAAAACTGAGCATGGGAAGCTTGTGATTCTGTTGACCCTTTCAAAAATGCAATATATAGCATCCCTTAGAAATCATGAGAAGTAATCAGAGGAATGTGTTACAAATCTGGTATTTACGTTCAGACCATCATCTGGCTGTGTATGATGCTGGTTTAGATTGAAGACCCTGGTATTAATAGCGGACTGCAGTAAAACCTTGGAGATTTTTTACTGACCTTTCAGGGAAATCCTGAAAATGTATTGGAACATAAATTAGATGTAAATCATTAGAATAAAAAAATGTCAGACCTTTTAGCTGGGTTGGGCTTGTGACACAACAGAAGAATGTTTTCATCCTTAGCTGCTGTTTTCAATGCCCGTTTCTCCCAAAATACACTTCAAGTTGAAACTGCGCATATACATTCTCTGTTAAGAAGTAAATGTGTCTGGAGGAAACGTGTTTTGGTGTTGGTTTGCTTGATATTGTGAAATTACAAGAGCATATAAATGCCGTTTTTCATCAGCTGTGACTTTATGCATTAAAATATTTCTGAGTGAGTCGAGTATAAAGTGTCCACCCTGAGGTAACCCACTGGAGAAACGAGCTTGTAGTGTCATCTGGCTTAAGAGTTGTACAGGACAGTGCATGTTGTAGTGTTTGTAGGGTTCCCACTTAAAATAGGCTTCACAGAAGTGAACTTGTGAATTCAGTGGGAGGCATCTAATGTAACTGGGAGTACGTGCGTGGGAGAAGAGCGGGGCTGGCTCCTCTTCCCCCAGAAGACCCCTGGGGACTGCGACACCTCCTCTCTTCAGGTGTCACAGGTACAAAGCACCTCGCAGAGATGAAATGGGTGATGGATGACTGTGAGGGACATGGCTTCAGGTACTTCAAGTTTCTTGTGGATCATGACTGACTAGGGGGCTTGAATGCCAAATGCAGGTGCTGGCATCCTTGTTGGACCAAGCAGCTACTCTTTATGATGCTTAAATTCGGAGCTTCAGATGTTACCCCCAACAAGTCAGAGGAGATTTTCTAATCAAATGGGCTATGCCGTGATTGTTCACAACAGAATATTCTGCACTTTTCTCTGAGGCATCTATTAATGCGTAGGAGGCTGATGAACTGCGTGTTTGATTTACGGGGGCGCTCTCCATATTTTTATGTTTCTGAGTTGTTTCCTTGCACAAGGTTGCTTTTCCCATGTTAGTCAGAAAAAACATACAGACTTTTATCAGCTTAACAGTCAAATGTTAACAGTAATTACAGCATTCAGAGGGTAAAGTATTACAATAATTCATTTTAATAACGTTTATTAGGTCATAACAACAACTATAAATGTAAGTACCATTGAGCTTCTTTTGCAGATATATGAACTTACTAACATCAAATCTTTACGAGAATCACGTATTCTTACAGGTGTCCCAGACACAACATTAACTTTATTAAGCAAAAGTTCATAAATAGTAGAAATGTCCTCTGTTTCACATTGCAGCGTTCCTCAAGCATGTATGTACAAGTTTGGAGTATCTTCTCCAAATCTATGTGTCATAAACTTCCTTAGCTGTTTTAACAACCATAGAGATGATTTTTTTTTGCCTGCAGCAAAGCCTTTTGTCCTTGAGCAATCTACAATTAGCATTGCTCTCAGCAGACATGAAAGTTCAGTTCTGAAATGAAAGTGGTGATGAAACACAATACAATATTATCTGCTCGTAGTTTGCCTACACGCTCTGCCCTCATTATAAATCTTTCAGTTATAACACTGTCTCCCAAGAACAATATATCTCCCGTATATCAGTTCTTTATCTGCATTACCTCTCTTTGAAGGTCTTAAAATGGTTGGCTTGCAGCAACGGAGATATTATACATAGGGTGTAGTGTGTTTACAGTAAGTTCGTTTCCTTTTTAATATTTACACAGTATTTTTTTTAAGGTTGCTACCATTTATGAATCATGTACGTTGACATACATTTTCTGAAATGTTCACAGTGCAGTATTTTGTGGCCTAACCAAACTTTGTAAATGTCATTAAAAATAAACTTTTTTTTTTAATATAAAAATAGAATACTTTATGTGTTTACACCAACAAACCCAGTTCTATCCTATACTAAACAAGCTATACAGTAGTATGCACAGAATTCCACAGGAACAGAAATGACATGTGATGCTTGCCCTAAAGCTATAGTACTCTTCCTTAACGAATGAAAGTTTTATTTACTGTCTCTTTTCAAAATTGTTTCTCTGGTCATAATTTAGAAATAAAAGTAGGTATCGTAACTCACTGGGTTGTGCGATCCAAGAAAAGGCTAGGGGGGCCTAAAGCTGTTTCTCCTTTCGATCGGTCTTCTCAGCTCTTTAGGGCTGGCACGAAGAAGTTTTTTTTTGCTATGGCACAGTCTTTTTAGGTCAGGGCTGGCTGCAATGCCTCTGCTCCTTCCTCGCCTTTGGCGGCAGCTCCACCCAAGGGTAGGTGGCAGAGCTTCAGCTACTCACTGTGTGACTCACCAGACAGCAGCTCCATAAGGTTGCCAGCCTGCCTGTCTCCTCTTCCTCTCTAGAATAATGCGGCCCGTATTACTACATCCCAGGGATTAGCCTGGCATTTAATATGGATGCCTTCAAGTTTTTATTCTCGGAGAGTGGTTAATTCTTTATTGAAAGAAATGGTGGCTCCGCATTTTTCAGCAAGGGATCTGTCAATACAGGCTGTTAATCAAAGTGGTTGAATGTTGGAATAAAGTTGACACTAGAAATGCTTTAAGCTAGATGATTTTCCCTTCATTTTATGTACCGTCTGACTACACCAGAGGACTGGCAAGGCTGACATACTTATTTTACTGCACACCGTTTTTCGATGTTGATTTCTGTTAAGACATTTACCACGAGGCTGGCTCTCTTGGCTGTCAATGTTCTAAGAAACATTGTTGATGTAGTGCAAAAAGCCAAAGTTTGGACTGTGGGAGAGGAAAATACATTTTAAACTTTTGTAACTCTCATTGTTTGTGTTAGCCTTTTGTGCGAAAACCATTTCTGCACTGCTCATTATCCTAAAGTACATGCAACAGTAACAGTCCTTCCAGCCGTACTGATTGGTATTCTGCTTTCTCCTTCATGGCATTAATGATGGATCTTTGTTCTTGGGTCTGAGAACACATTAATGAGAGCTAGTGGGAACTAGCTCTGGATGGTGGCACACAACGTTTCCATTTGGTAAATTGATGCAGTTGTCCAAATACTTGGAAATTACTGTGATGGTTTATAGAATCCCGTAGCCTTAAACAATACGATGTCATGTCCTTGTACTAGTGCAACTTGGGCAACAACATAAACATGTGCAACAGTGTTCTCACAAAGACCGGGCAGTAAAAACTAGTGGACAAAATGTTCTGCTTTTTGTTCATACAACTAGAAATGGATTTTCCTCTATTTCAGACATACCCGTCATGTGTCAACATCCATGTCTGTGTTGTCTTGTGATGATAAAAGAGAAGGATAGGGAGCAATGCACTTCACATTGACATAAGTAGCATTGACATGAACGTAGTGTTCCCCAATAAAAGTGGAGAAGATTGTTGATATTTTTGAAACAAGTTCAGAAAACGCTGGACGCATCTCAGGCTTTGGATGCCAGCACTTCAGCATGACTTCATACCTGTCATTCAAATAAAAGACGTGTTCAATTATGAAATTATGTAAAAAGGAAAAAAAACCCCTCTTTCCTCCCACAGTCTCACTATAATATCAGGATCAGCAGCATTTGCAGAAGGCTTTGCCAACTATTTACTTACAGTGGGTCGGGGCAGTATTCAGGTTGTAGCAGCCTTCTTCCTTGTAATAAGTAAACGGTTATATCAAAAGAATTTACATCAGGATAAGGTGGTGCCCCTCTTGTCATAAGTTCCCATAACAACACACCAAAGGACCACTAAAAAACCAAAGAAATAAATAATAAGTGATAGGGTTGGAGGGCTTTACATTCTAGTTTTAGAAGATGGTTTGACAGATTTAAGCATTCAAATGCATGGATTTTCCCTTTGAAAAGTTATTTTACTGCATTCAGCTTTCTTTTAAGTGGGCTAATAGATGCTGTAGGGACTTGAGGAGCCACTTAAATTGAGGAGCCAGAGAAATTCAACTAAGTAAATGAAAGAAAATAAAAGCCTATAGGCCTGCTACTTAGCTGGTATAAATTGGCAGACCTCTTTTGAGGTTAATGGAGCTCTGCCAATTTACATGAGCTGACGATCTGACTAACCCTGTGTAAGTACTTACTGAAGAGCATATACGTGGTGAAAATTCTATGCATCACAGCCTAATTTGAATCTGGATTGAAAGGAGAGCTAAAATACAAAGTGATCCAGCCAACTAATGACTTCATCTTATAATTTTTTCTTCATAAATAGCCAGGTAATACTTGAGATTGCTGTAGGCAGTCAGTAAGTATTTATAAAGCAAATAAAGTGTTTTTGAGAACTATTAAATTTTACGAGTGTCAAAGTTAACCTGTTTTGTCAAGCTTTCCAGAGCCTCTCCTATAGCAGGATTCAGCTCCAACTTGGCTTCTGGAATTGTCCTTAGTTTCCCCTGGAGTGGGATTAAACTCCTAACTCTTTCCTGAGCAGTAACAGATAATCAGGTCAACATCTTGTTGCTTTGTGATTGTGACAAATAACCTTTTTGGATGTAGAAACAGTCTCTTATTCTTATGTGAACTAAAGTCAGATTCAAATATAAGTTTTGTTTTGGAGTTAGTCCATTCATTAAATACTAGGGAGATGCCTCAAGCAGTGTAAGATAAATTAATAGGTGATACAAATATGTTTGTACATTACCACATCTGACTTTGTTGTGAACTTCTGAGTTTGTAAGCTTTCTAAAGCCATCCATTTCACTGGCAGTTTAGCTCCAGTTTTATTGTGCACACTGTAGTATTCTTTATCATAGACATCTCTAGCAAGACCAAAATCAGCAACCTTGACAGTAAATTTTTCATCCAACCTAGAGAAATGACAAAAAGTATTATCTACAACTAAGCAGGCGAGATTTACAGTGACAGTGGATTATAATGAGCATCTTGCATTTTTGAGACCGTGACTTTGGAAGGCAGTACTTTATCTTGGATCTATTAACTAATGTAACAGTGAAACAAAAACTGCAGCAAAGTGTATTTGACACCCATGTAACTCAGTGAATGAAGTCAGGAAATTACCAATATTGTTTTGATAATAGAATTTGAATTACAGTTCTTTTAAAACAATTGCTCTGTATAAAAAGATCTTTGCTAATAGCCTATACATCCTGATTAAGTGCTACATCATTTTTTTCCACAGCTCGCTCTTCTTCCATATCCTGAGAAACCTCTCATTTTTATTTCCAAGTCAAGGCATCATCTTTCCTGTTCACTCTCAATTTGCATAAGGAAGGACCCATCATTATCTCAGTGATTGCCCATATATAATAATGTAGTCCTGTAATTAAGGGTGTGTTTGGTGTCTTTACGGAGAAAGAATGATGGTATAAGCAAAGTCCTGCTGGGGTTACAGCTTAGCCATACCAGAAGATCTCCCTAGCTTTGCTCCTAAGCTTCGTGTTTGTCCTGATAAAATGGTATTATTGTCAGAAAACAGATAGAGCATGGGTGTTGGCATACTTAAGCCTGTCTTTCATTATCTGAGCAGACCTGGCTGCAGCAAACATCTGCTTTTGGGCTTCTTCACAGAATCACACAATGGATGAGGTTGGAAGGGACCTCTGAAGATCATCTAGTTCACCATTACCTCCCCCGCTCAAAGCAGGGTCGGCTACTGCAGGTTGCCCATGACCATGACCAGTTGGGTTTTGAGTATCTCCGAGGATGGAGACTCAATAACCTCTCTGGGCAACCTGTGCCAGTGTTCAGTCATCCTTACAATAAAAGTGTTTCTTCTTGTGTTTAAATGCAATTTTCTCTATTCCAATTTGTGACCCCTGCCTCTTGGCCTGTCCCTAGTCACCACTAATAAGAACATGACTTCATCTTCTTTACTCCACCATATCAGGTATTTATACACATAGGTAGGATGCCCCTGAGCCTTTTACGGGGTAAACAATCCCACCTCTCTCAGCCTCTACACGTGGCATTTCCCTGTCCTGAATTTATGAGGTTTCTGTCTGGGCAACTGTCTGGTCTGTTGAAGTCCCTCAGAATGGCACACAACCATCTGCTGTGTTCACTGATGTAATAGCTAAACCAGTAGCAATGAAGGGAGAATGAGGGAACTTTGATGGGTCAGCAGGGGACAGTTTATGCCATAGCAGATTCTTGCACCTCTTCCAGGTGACTGAAATAGAGTCAAGGGTCCACAGGGACTGCGTTTGCATGCTGGCTTCCTTTCTGATGGACGTCGACGTTGTGGCAAGGGCTGTGCTTCTGAGTGCTGGATTGCACATGGCCACTGGGGAATGTTGGTCTTCAACCCTACATCTTCTCAGGTGGCAGTGGCTCTCCAGGCTCTGAAGTCCTGAGCCATACAGAAGTACAAAAGCAGCCATTCAGTTGGCAGCGTGAGGCATCCTGATAGCTGTTCCCTCCTCAGCCAAGGAAGAGACAGTAGGCCAGAGGGAATGCCCTGTTGCCACTATTTGGACTTTAGTTAGATGAACCAGGACTTCTGTCCAGTAACCCAATTCCTTCCTTCTTAGGAAACCTGAAAATCATATTGCTTGTGGCTTTTTTCCTCCCTTAAAAAACAGCATCTTCAAGAAAATGTTCTTTTTCAGAGGCTGTTCAGCTGCACGAGTGCGCATCCTTTGAAAAAGAATAAGACATCTGATGTCACAGGTGAATAACCTTTTTGCGGCCAGAGTTTCAGATTATGACATGCTAAAAATAAACTCTACTGTTTCTTCCTGTACCTCATTAATTCATAACGTAGGTGCTGAATCAACATAATACTATTGGCAATTCCTGTATCAGTTAGTCTTTGTGTAAACTGAACTGTCTGGCTACTCAGACACTGCTAAGATTCTTTGCATGCTCTGATTTTTTAATGTTAATTTGTGTGCACAATTGAGCCAAGTAAGATCATACTCATATAATGAAGTATTACTGTCAAGAGGTCTCACTGGTGTTTCTTTGTGCTCCTGTTTTTCTCACAAAGTTCTCCTTGTGTTCCTCTCCCTCCTGCTAGGTGCGGCAGCAGAGATGTGCTGATTTTGAGGAGGTTGGGTAGAAGCACAGCAAGTTGAGACAACAGCAGTTCAACTTCCCTTAGGAGATGCCTTTTAAACTCTCTAACCAATGATTTTGAGAGACTACACTTTCACCTCAGCTTTTCATATTTCCCACACTCAAGAAAAGCTTATGTGTAAGAAGTAAGCCTTTAGCAAGCTGAGTAGCAGCTCATCAGTATGCAAGACAAACATTGATATAATTATGGAACAATGAAAAAAAACACCCTATTTTGGCAAAAAAAGCAGAATCCTGGAAACTTTCATTTATCTCATCTGACTGTCTTACACAGGAGAGTGTGACAACGTGGCTGGAATGAGATGTTTGTACTTACATACAGTTTCTTGCTGCCAAGTCTCTATGGACAAACTTTTTGCTTGCAAGGTATTTCATCCCTTTTGCGACCTGAAGGCCAAATCCAATTAAATCTTTTACTGTTGGATTCTGTAAAATACAAACATTTGTGATACAATGAATGCAGAAGCCCAAGGAGCAGACTGTTTTTTTGCTGTTAGTTTTAAGACACACCTATTTTGCCACCAGAATGATCAAGACAGGTTGGTGCTTGTAGTAAAACTGGCATAAGTTTAGGTCAAGTTCTTACCTCCAGTGAGGAAACACACTTTAAGAAATCAAAAAACTGACAGGCTCCAGAAGAGTGGAGTTTGCAGCATAAGCAGCATAACCTGGGCTGGAAAGTGGAACAGTATGCTGAAACCTCACCATCACACCTGATACACAAAATTCACATTTGTGGACTTAGAGTAATAGCATGTAACTCCGTAGAAGATGCTAACTGTGAACTTGGAGCTCATCAGCTGGAAGTGACCAAGAAAGGACAGAGTCCTTTGAGGCAAAGTACGTACAAGCTATCATCAGTATGGTGCCATGGAAAAGGCAAATGAGACCTTAGCAGTTACCAGAGGAAAATTTTCCGCAAAGACTGGTAAGTCTTTTTGCTGGTCTGCAATGCACAGGTTAGACCTTACTGAAAATGTTAAATCTGCATATAATAATAATTATTATTATATATATAAAATTATATATATAATATATAATTATACAGGTAATAACCTGTAATTCTTTTATCCAACAGCATGACTTGTTATGTAACAGTAAGGTCCCAAAGATTTTTGTGTTGTTGACATCGCTCGATATCATATTCTTCTGTGGAACAATCCTATTCAACTGTGGCATTACTCTTTATTTCAGGAAGGACCACGGCACTGTTCACAGACAAGGTCCCTGGTGCTTGGAGAATGAAACAAGCTCGAAAGGGAAGAGATCCCTGCCTCAGAAAGCTTAACTCCCCCAACAACTTGTCAAGATGCTTTTTTATTTTTAAATTTTACTGGATATTGTTGATTGCCATAGAGGCAGGGGTGAAATCCCATTGGCTCAGAAGTCGCTTTATCTTGTCCTAGTACTGGGAAATAGGTGAAATACTACAGTATAAAGTGGGCTTACACTACCTGAGGCAAGACCTGTGGTCTCACACTTGAGAGAAAGCAGTGAGGTATGTTTGAGAAATCTGCAGTCTTTCAATGAAAATGGGGAAAATCTCTGATAAGAGAGTACTCATAGTTTGTATAACAATTGCTGGTTTTCTATCTTAAGAAGAAAAAATAATGGTAACTGGGACTATGTCTCTCGCTGGACATGAGGATCCCTTACCTAGGAGTTGGAAGAGCAGATGGTGACAACTGGCACAGCTGTGCTGAAGTCAACAGAGATATGCCAGTTTAAACCAGCAGATGGTTGGGCCCCTTGACTTAGATCTCATAAACATATTTGTTTATAAAAAGGCTTATGGATGGGAAATGAGAAATACTTATTGCTGATAATTTCTGGGAAACACTCTGGAGAGGAATTTGAGGGGGAAGGGAAGGAGTGGCAGCGCTGTGGTCAGGCTCGGTGCCAGCCTAGGCAAGTGCTAGAGGTTAAGGTGTAGTAACAGCAGCAAGTTATAGACGTAATGTAATTCTCAGAGCTTATAACCTGTGGTGTTGGAGCAGGGCGTGGCCAGACTTGCATTACCGTTTGGTAGATCTCACCAGGTACTTACATGAGTCTCATTCCTAATGAAGTTTCGAAGATCTCCATGTTTCATGTATGGAAGAACAACTAAGGGGGATCCTTCATTGGGCAAACAGATTCCCAGGAGCGACAGAACATTGGGATGAGTGAAATCTTTCATGATTATTCCTTCTTTCAGAAACTGAGCTACTTCTTCCAGGTCTGTAATCCCTGAGAAATCCAGTAATAAAATGAAATAATTAAAAAAACCCAAACATACTACAGTTCATTTCTGTACAGCATATCATTGCACAACAAAGTGATAATGAGAAGCTACAAACATGCTCCCCATCTCCCACATTGCAACTAGGTTATGTGCATCCGTTTTCTTGCAATGATCAGATGTAGCTTGTTGGTCATTTTGATTCCATTTCTCCTGTTCTTATTAAGAATTATTTAGAATTTAATAACAACACTTGAGTAAAGTCTTTAATAAATGTTGTCATAGTCTCTTCCTGTTTTTCCAGCAGCTTTGCCTGCTCTCTAGCAACTTAACTTCCAAAACCAAATCTTCAGTAGAATAAAAGATGACACTGCCTTTCCCTGATTTTCCTCTGTCCCTTTCTTTGTAGAGGAAATATATGGGCATTTAATTTGATGCACAAATATATACCAATGCTTCGTGGTAATCTGAAGTTATTGGAATTGCTCCAGAGATAAATCTGATCCAGCTGCAACTAAGAATCTTTACTTGTGAAAGTACACTTCACTGTAATTAATTCGTTCACCCAGGTTATCTTTGGAATTATGGTAATGTCTCACTATTAAACATGTAACTCACTATTCAGTGACTTCACAGCACAGTGAATTTTCCTGCCATCGTTATCCAGCAGTGTCCCATGGTACACACACCCAAAATGTCCTGTGTAGGAAAAGAGCAAGATTAGCTTTAATAAGTAAAATTAGCTTTCTGGTATTTTCCACTGGGTAGCAATTATGCTTTAAGAAAGTGATCACACTCTGTTTCTGTCCAATTCCCAACACTTGTAATGTATACTTTATAACTAACGCATAAAACCACCATTACATAAAACCATCATTACATAAAACCATCATTACATAAAATGAAAACTTTATTTGCAGCATAATTGATATTTTTTGACCTAGATGGAGAGTATAAATAATGACAAGGCTGACGCCACAATTGCTTCACGTTCTTGTAATGATTGTGCACAAAAAACCATGTCAGCCCATTCCCACCACGCTCTCCTGTTAGATATATGTCAAAGGAGGGTACTGGAAGGCACAAGAGAGCAGTTAGAAGGAGCTGACATGACCACTGGATCGGTGGTTCTCTGTGGTCTGTAAGCCCATGCTAAATGGCCCACTGGATTGTACAGCCTTGATGCCTCTTCAGTGAAACGTTGTATAAGGAGTGTCACTGTGCACTTACAGTCTCTCAGGTCTTGCTATTCCATGGAAAATGCTGAGTATTAAAAATGGTGTGTTGGCCATGAAAGATTTGGGGGTTGCTCTACCCATCACAGACTGACCACACCACGAGGCAGCAGTCCATGGTCTCTGCTATGGCCTAGTTCCTAGTGCAAAATATCACTAGAAGATGATGAGTGAAATTTGCCTTCTTGCTAATGGTCTAAGGAGTGAAAAAAACTGCCCGGGACACAGAAATCCTTCCTGATCCTGTGCTTTCCTGTCAAGCAAATGGGGTAGTCTGCAGAGTGGGGAAACCTACTCTGAGAAGTCAGCTTGACCTGTTTGGGACACTCAGAGAGCTTTGAGCTCTGGGGACATGCAATAATTTATACAAATCAAATGATGTACATGTAACGGTGGCTTTCCTTCACAGATGTACTACATACTGGGGACTTTTAAAATATTAATATTTGCTGTTAGAAAGCAAAATAGTTTTTTTGTCAAGTGTGAGTTCTGCAGAGAACAACACTATCTGATTAATACGACTAGGTTCCAGTCATAAGCACTGCTCATAGCCCAGTTGGCTTTGATTTTGGCTCAGGGTAAAATTAATACAAAGTTTGTTTTATAAAAGCAACTAAAATCCCATCAGACCACAGATTGTTTGGAGCCTGGGCACAAATCCTAGAGCTTGGATTGGGTGTGTCTGAAATATTTCTGGGTTTGGCCTATTTCTAGTTATGGAGGAGAAAATTAAAAAAGGTTAATTATATCGGTGTCGTTCCCGGTATTTTTCAACATTTGAAAAATGGGAAATTACTTGGCCTTTTCTGAAACAAGACAGAAAAGAAAAAGGCCCACCCTTGCTTCAGGGATGATGAAGTGTAATACATGGAAGGGAAACACACTGACTGTTTGCTTGGCTATCTTCCTGCAGAAGAGGCATTAGGAATACAATTTATAGCAAAATTTGTGTCAGTATTCTGATACTCAACAAGATCTCTCTCATGCATGATCTGTAGAACTGAAAATCTAGTTTCTGCTTGGGTTGCTAATAGGTACTCAATAGTACAGAGTTTAATAAATGCCCCTAACAGAAATGCTGGCTTGGGCTATGAAACAAGGAGGGAACTTGCTTATGGAGATGTAGAGGAATAGGAGTGATGGGAGAAATTCAGAAAAATAGGGGACTTGCTATATCAGGGACAAAAATAAGGGGAAGTGAATCAGGAGCTATGCGTTACTGCAGCTGGGATGACAGAGGAACGAGGGGGAAGAGAGATCCGTTGGCAGGAGGAAACAAACAGCGAATTCCTCAGAGCTGGGGGAAACTTGTGGAGGCAAAAGGGGTGTGTGCGTTTCCCCTGGCCCATGGGGACTTTTACTGAATGCAGTAGTGACTGCAGGAGTTTTCTGTGTCGTGTAGCAATCCTGCCGGCTCTCAGGGTCCGAGTTTAAGGTCTCTGGTGCCCCCACCTCAGCATCCCCTGTCTTTTAGGGGCGTGCCTTAGGTTCGTGCAATATTCTGCAGCAGCCCCACTCCTGCACCGCAGCCTTGTGGATCAGAAGCCCTGGCTGAGCTTTTCTGTAGCCTGGAAAAGGGTGAGAGTGAGGCAGCTAAGGGGGAACCAGCAAGTCTCTGAGTTCAAAGGACCCCCATTAATTGGCAGACTCCTTCCTCCCTCTGGTGTCTTCTCCAACTGATCAAATGCACAACCCTTCATCTCACTTCAAAGGAGAGCTCCTTGGTTCTCTCCTTGATTTGGTGCATGGGATGCCGTGCTGTAAGAGGTAAAAAGCTTGAAAAACCTCCATGTAGACACCTTATTCAGAATGGTTTATAATGAATGGGTACACAAAAAAAAGCAGTGTGAAGGACAGAGCCGCAGTACCCACCTCTTCCTATTACTTCGCTGAAGTGCACAATCAGGCTGTCAGCACCAATAACCACATGCTGCACTTCTTTGACCAGGTCGGGGTTTAAGGCACTGATGTCAATGTGGACATTAGTTTGGAGAAGTGGACTGGCTAAATCTGAGTCTCCGCTGGACAGAATTGGGGAGAGGTCAGAGTGAGGATACTGGGCAGGTCTGCACGATCCATTCTGAGACATGCTCGGAAACTGATCTGCAAGATGGACAGAAAATGTTATAATCCTTTCAGGTTTCTCCTTGGAAAGTGAAGAGCTTTGTCTCATTGGTGAGCAAGGGTTTGAGTTTATCAGTTTGGAAGAGACTTGGCTTTGCAGCAGGTTTTGGTCACAAAGGGAAAATGAAAATATGCATTGCTAATCTGCCAAACTCCAGGAAAACCATGTCACTAGAAACTTATGCTTGTATCAGCTCTACTTTTATGAAAGTAAATGGCAAAAATTCCACTTTTCTGAGGGGATGGAATGAAGCCTTGTCACTTCTTGCCAAGTGTAAGTTATAGAATTTCTAATAATTGGGAGTAACAAGAGTAAAATGGAAAAATGACAGCGATATGGGAGGAGGAAGTAGTGAACAATTAAAAACATGAAACCTTTTATTATTGTCTTGTTCTAATTTGGTAGGGAACTTTACATTTCATGAAGGTTTCCAAACTGCTGGTGACTAGCTATATTTATCCAATGGTAAATATTCAACCAGGGAAATGCCTAGAGGTGATTCATATCCTGTAACTGCCGAAGATAATACAGTTGGTGCTACTCATGAAAATAACATGAGCCAGCTGATTTAAAATAGCAGAAATTAAAATGTTTCAGTCAAGCCAGGAGTATTATTTGAGAAAATTATTTTTGTCAACAGCATGTTGTTCAGGTATTTTAAATTGCTGTTGTTCAAAAGAACTTTTTCTAGTATTTGGTGTAATAGAATCAAGGAATTTAGTTTAATTTACATCAATTTCAGTCTGGAGTGATTCCAGTAGAATGAATGAGCAGAATTTAGCCCAAGGTGAAAAAAAAAAAAAAAAGAAAAAGGGAATAAATTTAACAAAAGAAATTATCAGATATTTTATCACAAAGAGTAAAGGGTGTTGCACAGACATGCTTTATATATTCATGTATAAAACCTGGGAAGTTTTCATATAGTGTGGTTATCACTCTAGGTGCTGAGAAAAACCCAGTGCTGCTCTACCTAGAAGCAAAAATACTAACTCCTCCATTTACAAAGCCACATTTATGTTACCAAGGGCAAATACCTATTTAATGATCATGGTAAAATACTCTAGCCATGGTTGCAAAATAATTTTTACAGCTGCTACATGTAAACCTGCATGTTTTCTAGTGCTCCTGTCACTTTATTCTTCGACAGTAATTGAACATTCCTACAGGAACATTAAATGAAAGCACCTCCTGCTTTGGTGCCCTCTCTGCTGTGCTTTGCCAGTGCACGGTGGCCCCAGGACCACTACAGATTTACCTTCCCCAAGGATCTTTGCCTAGTTTTGTCTTGTGTACCACTTTCCCTTCTAACCGGTGGCACAGGCTTTCCTTTTCCTTTGGGAATTTTTCAATCAAGAAACATCCTGTGCGAGCTGGTGGCAGCAATTAAAGAATTGTAAAGGAAGCTGGGAACGGGCCTGGCTCTCAAGCAGCTCTGCGATTGGGGATTACAAAGGCAGAATAAGGGTTTGGAGTGATTTCTATTGAGCTGTATATGGCAGCACCTGAAGTAGTACAAGATGTCTATACAAAGACTAATGAACTCCTGTGATTTCTTAAATATCATAATATGGTAACTTCTTATAGTTAAAGACTCTTTAATGGTAATCACAGACCATGGGCTCCACATGTCTTAAAGGACACATTCAGCCTAAAGTGGTATGATAAGTACAGCAGAGTGCTCTTCTGGACAATAGCCACTCTAAAATGGTGTTATAAGGCACAAAAATGTATTCAGCATAGTTATTCTTCCCTCATGCCCACAGCCCTGAAAGTGAATAGTGTGTTTTCTGAGCCTGGCATCCCAGCACACATGGACCGCCACTCGATCTGTCACAGTTTTCACATCCCTTTAGTGTAATTTTAAAAATGAACATTTCTGCGTCATACAACATGCCATTTTATAGGAAATGCATGAATAGACAAAAGAATATTAGTTTACAAAGCTTCATGTCCCACGCTGGGCTGACAGAACTGCTTTATAATGACTGCATGAAGTCACTGAGATATACTAAACCTACAGCCACTTGATGCTATCCTTAAAATCACTTTTTCAGAGTGTATTTGTGCATGGTGTGATGATGACTCAAAATCACCAGCTCCTAGTTAATTGTAGAGCATACTTACAGTGATTTTTTACTAATAGTTTTTTATATACTCCTCCACCCTGAGTAAAAATAAAAATCCTTTGCATATTAATCTTGGGAAGCACCTGAGAAGCTCAGTTCAAATATCAAACCTGTGAACACATGGAAGTCCTAAACAATGGAGATGCAGACAAACCAGATGAAAAAGTGAAATTAAGGTATTGATCAAAATAGCTATAATCTAAAGACATGAAAAGCAAGAAGTATAAAATGGTGTCATCCCCACAGATTCATAATAGAGGCATACCTTCTAGAAAAGTTGATCTGTAGTCTACAGATTCGCTTGAAACCATTTCTGTCGTTGGACTTACACTCCTCGCGCTCACCAGCCTGTCCAGGTGAGGAGTGTGCACTCTGCCATCGTAGCGCACTAGGTCGCTTCCCAGATCTGAAGAGGGAGGAGAAAAAAATATTGGAAAACCCTCATGTTTACTGTGTGCCAATGTTCACTTAGGTATTTTTTTAAGTTGAAGATGTTCTGCTCTGCTGGGAAGAGGGTCAGGTTGTTGCTGCGGCAGACACACACAGGACCTGAACTTCAGCTACTTGACCAGCACAAGAATTGCTGTAACTTGTGTTAAAGCGCTGCTCTTGGCCACAGTGGAGGGTCCAAGAGAGCTTTGAAGCCTCTGGGGCCAGCTTCATGATCTGACATGATACCATGTCAGAACAAGACCTGCTTATATACTAGCTCCTCTCCTCTTTTCCCTTTGCGTAGTACAGTGGTTCCCAATAGAAGGAAACCCAGACATGGGGGACAGAGAGGAGGCACGCTCTGACCAAGTTCTTGATTTGGGTGAACAGGAGAGCAGGACAGAGCCGCGCTCTGTCTTGCCCAACCTAGGCACAGCCTCTAGGACTATAGGGCAACTGGATGAAGCTGAAGTATGTGTGATTCCATGCATGTCATTTACTCGTCCCCTCTTCCAAGGCTGACTGGGGAAGAGAAGATACTAAGTTTTCTTAATAGCTCAGAATTCCTCCAAAATCCTTCTCCTTCAGGCATAGTGTGGCCCTTCACCCAGCTCAGGCAAGAGCCAAGGGCTGAAATGTAAGTAAACACTGGAATTGATTGTGAAACATCTGCTGACAGGTTAAAACAGGGCATTGCATGGCAGTTAAGCAAAGCATGAATTGATGTCAGTTTTTAAAACCTAAGATACAATTATGGAATCATTTGATGGAATTGACTATGATGGACCTTTAATTTGTTTCTTCTTCCTTCTCCAGAGGAAAAAACCCAAAAAGATCAAAATTAAAACTGATGTTGAAACAACTCCAGCAATTAGTCCCGTGAAATTCTGATCTTGCCGGATCAGCACTTTTCCGATAACTGTTGACAAAACTTCTTGCTTCCACTGAAAAAAAAAAGAAAAAAAAATAGCATGATGATTTCAAAAGACAAGTAAAAAGTAGATTATTAGTACTAAGTATGAGCTGATATGTCCCATATGTATTAAGTCTTGATTTTGTGACGCTGCACTGCAATAAGACACTGGGAGTGGAGAAATTATTATATTGGTGTACGCGAAAGCAGATCTACATTTTTATGATTCATTACGTGCCTTCAGAGCTCTGGTAGTGACGCAGCTGTGTATGTGCTACACCATACACACGGCACGCACTCACACACGCAGTCTGGATAACAGGGTCGCACTGCTACCAGATGTTAATTCAAAATGCTAAATTCATACTTTTACTCAAATGGTGCAGGGAAACGTACAGGCCTATGGATATACGAGCTGAGACCTATGTTAAAAAAACTAGCCCAAATGTCTTTAATATGTGTCCTTCCGGCATAAATATGCTGTAACATCAAACTCTCTGTTGACAGCGTGCCTGCGTTTTAGTTCCCAAGGTCATGTGAGCCCGTTCCTTGCCAGCTTCTAGCTTGTCAACAGTTTAAAGAAACAAAACAAAACAAAAACACAATTCCCAAAATCAACAACCAAACAAACACCAAGCAGCTAACAGGGAAAAACTGTTTTAGGTCACACAGCACTAGCTCAGTCAGTTGGAATGCATTTGGCCATCTTTTCTTTTTCTCCTGTGGAATTCATTCCTCTGGGTACTGTAATGATGGATTTGCCCGTCAAAAGAGCAAATTTTCTTCTTCGCTGGGCAGACTGCAATTTCTGAGGCTCCTTGCCAGTAAACAAGCAGAAACCTTATTTAACCCCTTTATGTTGTGTTCTTTTCTGCATACGAAATACATGTCATGCATATCTGTTTCTCAGAGGTTAAGGAAATATCACATAGTAGAGCTGACTGAATGTAGTGCTGGTCCTGGTTGCGTAGGTAAAAATATGAAAAGGTACAGAATGCAACATATGCACAAGTATTATACAAATCTAGGCATTTACAGGTCTGGGAAACAGGTTTGGCAAAAGGAGAGCTGCATCTAATGTTATAGTTTGCCTGATACATCCAAGAAATTTAATTTGTACTTTTCAAAGAAAATTGATATTAAAATAAATTAATATTTACTGTGTTGATAAAGCAAATTAGTTATTACTATTCATTTAGGTTACAGTAGCCCATAGGAATACCATTCACGGCCCAGAATCCTACTGAGATAAATGCCATAAGGACATAGCAAAAAATAGATGGTCCCTGCTCCAAAGAGCTTACACAAAGTTTGATCCTAGTCACACTTACATGACTGGCAAAGTTTCCACTGTTTTCAGTGAATCAGAGTCCATGATCATCAAATTTCATAGTTTAAAGGTAATATCCATCTGCTGTGATTTTCTTTTTTTATATTTAAAAAATACATAAAATCTATTTAAAAAAATACAAAGATACCGAAAGATTTGTGTCTTATTCTATGAATCAGTAGGTCAAAACTCTGCAATTTAAATTTGCAGTAGTGCTCTGAATGACTCTAGTGAGACCACATTTAGAACAATAATTTTCGAGCTCAAAGATTTGTCCTAAGTGTCTGCATTTAACAAAAAGAACTGAAATTAAATTAATAAAAGCAGAAAAAAAAATTCTTTCAGAAAGGATCTGATCCTCTTGACTACAGCAGAATTTTTTGCTGAAAAAAGGACTTGTGAGCGCCAAAGTAAACCTACTCCATTACAGCTTCCCATTCTTCCCCATATGTTTCCTCTTGTGTTTGGATTAATAACTGTCATTTTATTTCTGTGCTTAGTGTACGTCCTGCTTTGTGCCTAAGGCTCCATAAAGTCTCTGTACAAACAGGTAATAACAACGGTGCTGATAATTCTTTTAAAACAGTCGATATTATTTGAATTTCCATCCCAAACAAACAGAGATAGAGGTATCTCTGTAAACACAGGCTTAGGCTTAAATTTAAAGTTTATGCATTCAATAGTGACATTGGGAATGACAATAAAAATGGCATTAATGTCTCATGTGTGGTGTAGCTGCCTCACCTCTATATTTAGCTCGCTGTTAGATTTCAGGAGATCGCTGGGAACCGTACACAGAATTGATTCTGACTGCAGGAGAAGGTTTTCGCAGCTTTTATTTCCAACTTTTAGCACCTCTCCTTTAACAGCTTCTGAATCAATATAATTTCCCTTGGAAAAAAAAAAAAATCAATTTCATATTACATAACCATCTCGTAAAAGTTAAGAAGTCCATTCATTACAATGGAAATTTTTTTTTAATGGAAAAACAATTATGAAATAAAAGACTAATGCAAATTTACATTGCCCTGTCAATATGCACGTATCAGTTTTTTTCATGTAAATAAGAGTTTGACAGACAGGCCAGAGGGGGATGATAAAGTTTACAGATAAAATCTGCTGTCACTAATACTCTTACAGGCCATACAGACTTCTAAACATGTAAATGTCTGAGGGATAAATTCTGTTGGTCCTGTTTAGATTTTTGCATAATTTGCACAAGAAAGGAAGCATTATGCGACCCTGTTGTTTATACAAAACTGGCATTATGTTATCCACAAACTAAAGGCATCTCAAACATTTTGTTTTGCAAATGGTTGTGGTAGCAGGAGTGAAGCTTTCAAAAAGAACTAATTAATTATAATCATAAAAATGCACAAATCTGTTAAAATCACATTCCACAGACCAAAGAGGAACAAACCCCGGTAAAAATGACAGCATGAAAAGTGCACTCCCTACTCAGAAAACCTGCTTTCACCTCCCAGACTTGGCTAAAATGTCATTCCTTCTGGTATCGTGATAGCAGTGTCCCAAGGCTAAGTTCAGGATCTTTTGTGCTCAGGAGCGCATCGGTATTTAAGAAGCTGCCCTACCCTATGTGCAGCCCAGCTTAAGATGAAAAACCAGGCATATTAAGTGAGAGTAGAAGGGGAGAAGGAAGGGTGGGGAGTAACACTAATCCAGGCTATTTATGTGGTCTGGATCTGGGAGTTTCCCACAAGAAGGGAGGAAGACGTCATGGCCGACACTGCTACGAGGCCTCATATACTGGAAAGAAAACAAGAATCCCATTCTCTGGGGCAAAAATATTTTACTGTGGAATATGTTTTGGGTCTGCTGCAGAATCAGACTGAGCTCTGGGAAAATGTTAATAAAAATATAGGAGAGCCAGTCTAACGTCCTCTTTTGATTGGCAAAGCCACACCCCAGGTGAGTGCTTTTTAATTGCTGGCCAAAAAAGTCCATTTGGCACTCTATCTTCTGTCTACTTGGAGCCATTCTGTTTGGTGTAAATTAAGTAAATATTCAATGCTTATTGTTTATTAGTATGGAAGCTTGCTGCAGATTGTGAGCCATTCATGTTCAAATCTTCCCTTTGAATGATGTACCTCAAAAGACTTGAATGTGGGTCTTCTATCTCCAGGATATATGTACTATCCTGGAGAGCGTGGGTGAGTGGCACCTTTTCTTCTTCTACGGAAAATGTCAAGAATTTTTTCTCTACCAAAACTCACACTTACCCAAAGGAAAAAAAAAAATCATATTGACATTTCCTAAGTTGGTCCTTAGCCAGTTATAATGAAGACAGTATTTTTTACTTATAACCATTACCATTATATTTCAAATATATTCCGTATAATATCTCAATATAAGAAGAGTTTCAAAACTCTTTTAGCAGTGTTTTTGCTCTTTTAAGGACCACAGAATTTCCTATGACTTTAAGAAAAGGAGGAAACTGACTCCTCTGAGAACTGGGAAATAATATTTTCTGGTTTAAAATGTGTATTACCCCCTTTTTGCAGAGCAATGCCCTTGCATGCAAGCTGGAAGCTAGTTACTGGACTGACCACCTGTTGCAAACCAATCTGATAGACCAACTACTTCACAGCTTGGGTGAAAGTCTAGGAGCAGTAGAAGGACCACAAACCAAGGCGTGGAAATTTTGAGAATGGTGTCAGAAGAATTTTTGAGGTTCCTAAGTAGAGTGGGTTGACTTGGGAAGAATGAAGAGTTGCTGCAGCTGCAGAGCTTCCACTTCAGCTTGCTCAGAGAAACCAGGGATTCCTTATTGCACTCTCTTGGACCAGACAGAGAGATACATAATTTTCTTTGCAATGTGGAAGAAGATTGAAACTAGTGTGACCTATAAATACACAAGAAGAGTTCCTTAAGATTGTCTCATAAAGAACGTGTTATTCTGGATTAGGAATAGAGTGGACAATTTAGTAAGTCTTGTCCTACTCTTAGTTTTAGGGCAGATGTGCCAGATGAAAGCCAAGATCTCAGATGTGATGTGTAACATGAAATGACAATTGTGCTACTTACTTCTCTAATGGAAGATTTATATTTATAAATACAACCTAGTCACCTAGTGGCCCATTCCTAGGCCTTCTCTGGAAGCATGCGGAGACCCCGCACCGACTTGGTGCACAAGCACAACTCCAGACCAGGCCAGGCTTCTGGGCAGACTGAGGTGAGAAGCTCTTTCTTTCCTTATTTATCAAGGGGGTTTTGGGGTGTGTTGTCCGTCCGTCCCCCCCCCACTAGGACACACTGGGCTGTCAGCAGGCCAGCTTGCAGGTCTGGGTCAGTGGCTCTTGTGGGAGGCAGCAAGTAGGCTCTGTCCTCTTCAGCAGACTCAGGTCTTTGGTTGTCCCCAACAGCAAAACACCAGAATTTATCCTGCCATGAGAGCTTCCCGTGTTGGCAGGAGATGGGAGCACTTCTGAAGTGGTGTCTTCACGGTGCTGAAGCAGAGAAGTGCCTCAAACCACTCTGCCATGACCCCTCTGACTGGGGCATGGTGGGCACTGAGAGACTTCAAAGAGCCACATACTTGGCAGATGAAGACAGTGATGATGTGGGACCCTGAGAGGCTCCGTCATGTCAAAGACAAAAGGGCTGGCACTGAAGACAAGAAGGGCTGGCATTGATGGCACACAGTGCCCTGAATGTGTTTTAGATTGGAGACTTAAAGTTTTCTTGTGTGTAATGTTTTCTTACAAAAACATCTTATGGTCATCAGGGGAAACCAAACAGAACCTTTCAATTGGTACCTACTGTCATTTGATGAAAGCCAAATATGCCACACTAGATTAGTTTGACTGAAAAACTTGTGATAAAGCTCCCTCCGCCCCTCTGAAACTAATTAAGAAAAAGATAAAAGAACTTCGGTTTGGTAGAACAGACTGTTCACTGAAGCAAGCTGCCATTTAATTTCATGCTGAGCTTGCTTAATTACTGCACAAAATATGACCATGAGGCATGTAAACTTGTGTGTGTGTATTTTTGAATGCGGGTATGGGACGAGGGAAAAGTGTTGCCAATATGGCTTGTAATGATCTTTTGGCTCCCAACTATAATTTCTGAAAGTCGCCTCACTGTTTTGATAGAAGCATCCCACTAGAACTAATGTTATTTAGAGGAAGATGTTAAATTGGTGCTTGTTCATGCTTTGTTCTAGGAGACCAGCTTTCACTAATGTTATTCTCCATTTGGTTGCCAGGAAATAATCAGGGCATTAGGTTTAGGTAGACATCTGCCTTGGGTGTCATGACTGCAGGTGACATCAATGCTACAAAATTGTGACATTGGTCAGTTTTCAGTGGGACGGTCCTCAGCCAGCCTTTCTCATCTGAATGGCTTCATCACAACACTTAATAGCACTAGGGACTTCTCCTTAAGGGAGATTAAAAGGTTCAAGAGTAAAAGAAAGAAGAGAGTTAAAAACCACCTAATTTTTAAACTCAGCCCCTGGGAAGATTATGGAGCAAGTTCTCATGGAAGTTTTTCCAGGCAGAGGAAGGACAAGAATGCAATTGGGGACAGCCAGCATAGGTTCCTAAGGGTGGATTTTGCCTAAGCAGCCTGATGGCCTTCTACGAGGAGATGACTGGTTCTGTAGATGAAGGGTGAGCACTGGATGTTTACCTTGGTTTTAGCAAGGTTTGCAACACAGTCTCTCCTAGCATTGAAAACAAATTGGGATGATATGGACTGGATGGATGGACCATAAGGTGGGTGAAAAACTGACTGGCCATCAGCTCAATGATTACAAGTCTAACAAGTGGCGTTCCCCAATGGCTGATACTGGGACCAATGCTGCTTAAAATGTTTATCAGCAGCCTGCACAAAGGGACAGGATACACTGTCCTTGTGCTTTCAGATGACATCAAATTTAGGAAAATTACTGAAACACTGGAGGGCAGGATCACTGCTCAGAGTGACTGTGGCAAGCTGGAGGAATGGGCCAGCAGGCACCTCATAAATTCAACAAAGCCAGATGCAAAGTCCTGCACCTGTGGTGGAATAACCCCATGCACCAAGACAGGCTAGGAACAGCAGGGTAGAAAGACACTCTATGGAAAAGGACTTGTGGTTCTCATGGACCACAAGGTGGAATGACGCCGCAGTGTGCCATTGTAGTGATGAAGGCTCACCACATACTTTAGCAGCAGCAAAGCCAGAGGATTGAAGGTGATTGTTTTCCTCTGCTCAGCACTTGTGAGACCACATCTGGAGAATTGTGTTAAAGTTTGAACCCCACAGAACAAAAGAGACACTGACAAATTGGATGAAGTACAGCAGATGGCCACTGAGCTAGGACAGGAGCTGAAGCACAGGATGCACAATGTAAGGCTATGGAGCTGGGTTTTTTAAAGCTGTAAAATCTCCATTCTTGGAGATCTTTAAAAATCATCTCAACAAGGCCATAGGCAACCTGACCTAATTTTTAACTTAGCCCTGTTTTGAGCTAGAGGGTAAGACTACAAAGACCTCTGGAGGTTCCTTCCAATCTAAGTTATTCTATGAATCTTCTCAAATTAGTCTTCTTTCCAGCTGGTTGATATGCATGACCTGGAAAATACTGGAAAACACTGCTATTACGGTAGAGGCACTGAGCCATGCAGCAGCTATATATTCCCAGCTCTCTCTTGACCTGCACTCCAGAACTCTTTCTAGTGTTTCTCCATAACTGAACAGGAGAATTGCTCTGCATTGAGGAAGGGGTGATTGTACGGCCACAAGTTCCAAGTAGAAAAATTGTAATAATTGATTATTCTTTGGAATTTTCCCAGAACACTTTGTGGAGACAGATCAATATTAAGAGAGTTTGGCTGGAACTCAGCATGGCTGACAGAGGATCTGAGGTAACTCCCTCTATTTTCCTGCAGCTCAGGAGCTGGCCCACTGGAGCATCTTGGAGTCAAAGGCCTCAGGGCTTCAAGATTTCACAGCTGTCATAGGGGAAAAGAGTTTGGGTGTACAGAGTTATGCAGCAGCTACACGAAGAGATGACCCCAGCATTAAGGCTGATTCTCTTCTGTAAAGCATTTTTTATAGATTATATTCTGTATAAATTATAGATATTCTATATAAATTTCACATACATTTTCATAGACATTCATTATAAATTAGGAATACCTGTATTTATACTGTTCCTATTTGATACTCTAACTCTGAAAAGCACTAGATTTCAGGAAAGTGGACTCTTGCAAAATGGATTTAACTTTTTCCACAGCACTCTAGTAAAGAGCAGCCTGTGCCTGTGAGGGCCCTGAATTCCTAAGAGATGTTTCTCAGTGCTGTGTAGACTATTCCCAGTGCTCTTTTAACACGCACTCAGCATCAACTTTGCATTTTTCATGGATCCATAAATATTTAGGCTAGAGTGGTGACTGATCCTCATGAGTGACTTTGTGCACAGGCCAGAGTTTCCCTCAGCTGTGGAGAGCCAAAGCTGCTAGGCCACTTTCTAAAGACAACTCCACGTCTTTTGTGAGGAAGGACACAAAACCCTGTGACAGTAAGAGCTGGGACTCACGCGCAGACCACACGCTTCAGGTTCTGGGCTGCTGGCTGTATTTATGCCTGAACTGGTGATGCAGCTCATCGCAATCAGAAGTAGATGCTGTGTGGTCCTGCCATGAGGATGAGGCAAGCCACTCTCCCACCCCACCTGATGCCAACAACCACCCTGGTATATCTTTGTTTTCAGCTCTGCATCTTTTAAGTTGTGACAGCTGGGGGCTCAGATGAACGGAGTACTAAACATACTGCTCTCTGTCTCTCACTGCCCCTGCTTCCTTGGGGCTTCCTTTGTTTCATCAAAATGTCTGTTCCACGCTACGCTGCTGATGTGCGCTTGCAAATAATTGAAAAAGGTATTTCAACATTTCTTACCTTAATTTCCAGAACGTTTTGGTTGCCTCTTGAGATGAACACTGGCTTTTCAAAGTGCTTAAATACAGGATTATTTACATAATCAAAATCAAAGTACAAAGAGCTGACACCATCAAAAATAAAGAACACTTTGGTTACAAAGGGCGGTTGGAGATTGAAGGCTTTCAGTGAAGGAGTTGTACAGCAGATTATCTCTGAGCTGGAGCGGTGGCTACATGCCTATAAGAAAGAAAGACGTAATTGAGTAAGTACGTGCATAGGAAGTCACTGATGAACGTAACTGATCTTTAACAATACACATATATTGAAAAAATAAACACCAGAGGTCTTGTTCTTCTTCAACCAAAGCAAAATCCTGATCAGTGCTACACAGCGTTTATTTAGAGCTGGGAGAAAAGTATAAAAACTTCATGTCAATGGTGTTTGCACTCTTGTTGAGGAAATGTTCAAGTAAACAAGCTTCCTGGCCTGATTGTTCACAGCACTTTTAAAGTAAATATTTTGCAGATAATTAATGGAAAATTATTTCCAAAGCCAAGGACCATCAGGAGGCTATCCTGATGTACTGAGCTGTGCTGGGACACAAAGCAGCCATAATTCAGCTTACCCAGCCTATGTCAGAGTGACTGCCACATGGATTTCTCTTCCTTTCACACTACCAAAGCCATAGCGAGGGACCAGAGAAGGTAAAAATAGGGCCAATGAATCTGACTGAAATAGTGGAAAACAAAAGTAAAGCACTGTTTACCCAGAGTGTAGCTAAGCTGCTATGTTTCCAGAAAGACACTACAGATGCTGTGAGAAAGCGCTTTAAAGTCAAAACCACTATGGGATTCTGTTCCATGAAAGCTCAGCAAAGTGTATCTTCTTTCAAAAAATGTATGTGTAAGGCCCCAGACATGTGGTATTAGGTGCTTAGGTACGCTGGTGTCATGCAAGTCCCTCCCAGGAGTGTGGACTGTGGGATGTCCTTCACGCTGGAACTCTTTGGACCAGCGGGGTTGAGATGTTTGCCCCTCACTGCTGTGCAGGAGCTGCCTGATAATGGGTGTGAAGCCACGCTTGCCCCTCGCTCTGCCGTTACTCCTCCCAAGGGTCTGCTCTAGGGGTCCTTCCTGGGGAAAAGCTGCTGGTACACCGGAAGATCTGCCAGGGCATGCGTTGTGCTGTGGGGGTGCAATCCAGTGTGAAATGTCTGGCCAGGGTTCTTCCCCCAATCCCATACCGCCTTGTCATAGGACTTGTGGGACAGACTAGACAGACCCAGGTCCTCCCTAAAAGGATTGCTGTGTTGCCAGCAAGGGCAGCATGGGTTCACAGAATCACAGAATTTCCTAGATTGGAAAAGACCTGCAAGATCATCTAGTCCGATCATTAACCTAACACTGACAAGCCCACCACTAAACCATGTCCCTAAGCACTGTATCTACACGACCCTTAAATACCTCCAGGGATGGGGACCCCACCACTGTCCTGGGTAACGCGTTCCAATACCCGATGACCCTTTCAGTAAAGAAATTCTTCCTAATAAACAATCTAAACTTCCCTTGGTGCAACTTGAAGGCATTTCCTCTTGTTCTATCACCTGTTACCTGACAGAATAGGTCAACTCCCACCTCTGCGACCTGCTTTCAGATAGTTGTAGAGAGCAAACCCTGTAGGGTTTGCAGGCGGCCTGATCTGAAGCTGAGTTTAGGCATTTTTCAGGGATTATGTCCTTGCAGATGGGATTCATCCAGCCTGCATCCAGACACCTGCACTGGAGTTAGCTGTCTGAACTGCCTTTATCATCAACAGAGGGAAACAGGTCACCTGGAATGGGATTCATCTGATCTGTTTTAGACAACAGCTTTAATTAGATTAACGGTGCTCTAGAAGGGTCGACTTCTCTCTCTTGACTCTGAAGGTTTCTACATGACTAATTTGATTACAATGTCAACAGCACATCCACAAGCGTTGATGGGATGCACGGTGGGTGCTGGGCAGCATCACACAAATTGCAGAGTGGGTTGTTTGTGATTGTAGCGTGTACTCCCTTCTCTGTGCCTCCCTTTCATGGTGCCTACTGCGGATACGGTTGAAGGACTTCTGGCACAAACAAAGTTGCTTCAGCTCCACAGAAGTATTTCTCTTCCAACTGTATAAACCTTCTGTAAGTAGTTCCCTCTCCACTGTGCCCCGACAGCGATTACACTTTTTTTTTTAAGATATAAATAGAGTGACTGACATGTGCCCCGGTAAGAACAGGGCTTAGCTCCTAGTCATCATAAATCTTACATTTGTTCTACAAGAAATTTCCCTGGAAAACTAACTGTTGAATACTTGTGCTGTCAAATACTTTTGTGCATCTAGAGAAGTCCAAAAAAAATATTTTTTTTCTGTTTTGTTTTTCAAATTAAATTGGTTCTCATTATAAAATGCTGCCTGAAGGAGCTGTGAAATTAGCTTACATTTGTCTCTAATATGCTAAATTAATGCAATGTAATTTTGCTGTTTCAAATCAGTGACATAACCATTCAAGCTATATCAGTTATATACCCACGTTAGCCTGAAAAGTGGGATTAAATTAGCTATCTACAAATCAGCACTTTTTCTTATCACCACAGCAATTCATGTTTCTGTGCATAATATTGTGAAATCTTGAATCTGCCAAGGGAAACACTTTCAAGGCTCTGAAACTGAGCTGTAGAGTTTTAGAGCTCGATTACAAGGGTTACATGTCTGTGAGCTGTGCGTTCAGCGCTCAGATAAATAACTTGGTGCAGCTCTCAGTGATGCTAACGGGACTCGCACCCGTGTAAGTAACAGCCCATTTAGATTCCTAGCACAAATTCAGGAATATTTGTGCATCCCCCATGACAACAAGGTAATCTGTGGGACACAAGAGGAGGCAGATGTTCGCTCCATTTGCTTACAGTATTAGGCTGTTCTTCCTCTTTTGAATACAGTTTTATACACCATTGACCATATCTCAGGCTTTGTTCTATCACATGGATCTAGAAATTCATTTGAATCATTATGGTAATAATAAGATGCATCATTACTATAATGGATGCTCAAGCCATAATTTTCCATGATATATGAATATTCGTAAAGTTATCTATCATATTGTGTCACTTCTAAAAAGGGATTACTAAAATATATATGTAATTATAGGACCAAATATGTCCCAGGTAATCATTATATTTATTTGATTAATGTAAATTCATTAGACTTTTTATCTACTGTAGAGTAGTGATGTCCCTTAAATGAATAGCAGTGGTATTCATAACTTTGTTTGTGGCTATCTATTAGAATCAGATACTTTACTTTATCAGCCTGGTCTCTGAAGAGGAAGCTTTCAGAAAATGATAAAAATCTAATAATACTCTTTGGAGGGGATGCAATGTGACTGATTGGTGAGGTCAAGAAAAATCTTATTTGCGATGCCCTTATTGGTACATGATTTGACATGACATTTCTACCTTGAAATTGGTTTTAGCAATTGAAGAATATGACGGTTTAGTTTTCAAGAAATATTGGATTGAGGATCTATAAGAAAAAAACCCTAATTCAATCTATTGCCTTCTCAATTAAGATACTGCCTATCACCCAGCACCTTTAACTTTTATTTAATTAGGCTTTAAAGTACATTCACTTTAAAAGCTAAGTCTAAGGTCTTCTTGTGACTATAATCTACATCTGAAGACAATAAGGAAGAAAAGATGTAAAAATTATGGAGCATTTCACAAGCATAAGTAAATACTATAGCCCAAGGGAATAATAATCCATTGCACAATGCATATGACTCATCACTTAAAGGTATGTATTCTTGTTTCATTTGTAAAATATGACCCTTGAGGCAATTAATTCAAACCTGACCTACAGAATCTGAACTTTGGTGCCCAATTCAATTTTTTTTCAACTGATAGAACAACAGGAAAAGTATAAGGGAGGATCTCTGAGCTCCAGAGGTCTCCCAGCAGCTGACCCAGATAAGAGAGGAGCAGTTGGATGTGTATTACAGGATCTGTAACAGTCAGAAGGGAGAAAAGGGCCAATTTGTCCTTTCATAAAAAGTAAACTTTTGGAGTTCCAGTGAGGAATGAAAGATGAATGACGTTAAAGACAGACCGGGTGACTCTCCAACCATCTTTGCCAAAGGATGATTTCTCAATAGAAAGAGATGAGAATTCAGGTCTGACTTGAGGAAAGCCCATTCAGAAGGCTTTTCTGTGTCAGTGAGAAATTGAGTAGTGGTGCTCAAGCAGGGCATCTTGAAGATTTTTCAGAGAACTCATTGGCTTTTGCTGCCATTTCAGGTAGTGCAGTGAATGGCCCTAATGGATCGGTAGCAATTTTATTCTAGTTGTCTTCTTGGATGAAGGCATGGGAGATGATACTTCTAGTCTATCAGATCGTTGGACCAGAAGGTAGAGTAAAAACTCTCTTGCTCGGGGTCTGAGAGCCAGCCCTTCACACAACATGACCAATACTGACTGGGAGTCTAAATTCCTCCCTGGGCTTGGGGTGGTCAATGTATCTGCTAGCACCACATCCCTGGCATCCCGTTGACTTCACAGGATGGGCTTTTCCCTGACACCCTCTGCTGCAGATTTGGCACAGACAGAAAGGCCAATTGTTCCCCTTCAGCAGGGAAACTCTTTGCTGGGCTTCTGTGGCAGCTTTATGCCACAGAGTCAACACAGATAGAAGATCCAGCCCTGAGTGTCTTCGGCTAGGTAGTCAGGAACTTCTTCAGTAATCACACACTCACCATCCACAGTTTCCAGGAAATTTCTTCTATCATTATTTAATAAATCTATGAAGGACACTCACAGGTGAATTCTAGGCATTTTGATGAGTACTATGAGTATGGATTGTTCACAGACTTGTAAACATTGATGGAACTTTAGGGTATTTTAAAATTCTCCTGTAATACAGCAGGAAATGGCATCTAGCAGGGAGCAATTAAGAAATACTAAAGATCGTTCAAGAGACTACTTACTGAAGAGATAATTAAAAGAGGTGGTTTTGCATAGCTACAGGGTCAGTTGTTGAAGGTCATGCATTAAAAGGTGCTTCTCCCTAATTTTGCAACCTTGCGTATCTTGAGACATTCATGGTTAGAAGAGATTAAACAGTGAGAATATATATACAAATTAGTTAATGGATGGAATATTAAAAACGCTATAGCAAAGGACCCCGGAATGACTACTTGTTCACTATTGGGGAATCAATGCAAAGTACAGGCTTTCAAAGAGAATATATCGGCCTCAAGTGCTTCAGAAGCAGAAGAATCATCTAGCACGACTTATAGCAGAAGTTAGAAGACACTTATTTTGTAAACAGGCTCCGAATCAAATACCATTCCAAACTGTGCAAAGCTTTCTTACAGGCACAGTGGAAAGGGAAAGGAAGGAATGAGCTGCCTCCCTCCTTGTGTACCTCACACAGGAACTGGATACGTGAGCATAAATGAGAGGGTTTGCGTACCCTTCTGCATTATCTAGAACTGTCGGGAATTTATGCAGCACTGCCTAAATTCATATTTTTTTGTTCCTAGTCACAACAAATGTTCAAAAGAACCCATGAAATAAATAGAAATTAAAAAGAAACACATTGCAAGTATTGAAACATGTGGTTCAATAACTCTAGAATATTTTTTTTCACTCCTTGAAACAGCAAATTCAAAGAAGGCAAAAAGTATTCTTTTGATAGTGTTAACACAGAATGTAATATAAACAAAAGTAGTATGAACACAGTATTGAATAATTTTAAGGAAATTTAAATATATATGAAATGAAAATGATATAGTTGAAGCAAGGTATTTTTGCCATATAGAAGAAATACTGAACTTCAAACATGAAAGCTCAAAAGCTCAACTTAAATATTTCTTCTATAGGGGGTGGGCATAATGCCCCCAAAACTTTGCAGTCTCAGTGAAACTACATTTCTTATGGCGAGTTGTTCCAGGAACACTCCTTGGCCAGTTGTACTGCTCATGTCTTCCACCGGGATGGAAAGAACAGGCAGAGAAGAGCAAATACCCCAGGGCATGTCAGCCGTCTCTGCTCCCAGAGGCTTTGGGATGCAGAGCATCCCCAACAGTTCCTTCTGCTTACAAAAGTGACCCTCCACTCACACTGTGACCCCGTTAGGGCTCTAGGCCACAATTAAGCCTGAGGGAGTGAATTAAGGGACTGGGGACAGATAGCTGACAGGAAAAGGTGAGATGTCTTTTAAATTGGGCACCGCTAGTTTTAGGCAAATGGGAGAGAGTCTGGGAGGTGGAAGAAAGTATGAGCAGAGCTCTAGGAAACAACACTTCTCAGGAGTATTTGGAGTGGTTTGGTTTGTTTTAACTGGAAAAGAGAAAGGCTGAATCATAATGTAGTGCAAATATGTAAAATTAGCAGTAGAGACTGTTAATCTGTTGTTTGTGTCCACTGAGGGTTAAGCAAGAAGATAGCTAATTAGCAGCCAGGATTTGGGTTAATTATTAGAAAGAAGTATTTCCAAACCACTAGGTAAGCAGGTAGAGCAGCTCTCTCCAAAGCTTGTTTAAGCAAGGTTGTGAAATTTCTTTCACAAGGAGTTTTAATAACAGCTTAGACAAATATCCGTCAGGCAGTGGTCTGCGTACATTTGCTCCTGCCGCAGAGAATCGGGCCAGGCTAGGTCTTTGTGGTACCTCCCAGCTGTACTTTCCTTTGATGCTCTGGGATGTGTTTCAGTGCTGGCTTTGGTTTTCCCAAGAGCCAGAGTTTCTGAATGCTGACAAAAGCAGCTTCTTGGAGGAGGTTGGTGAGAAAAAACTGAAAAGAAAAAGAGCTTAAACAACAATAAAAAAAAAAGACTCAGTTGGCTCTTCTCTCCCAAACTAAGAAGGCAAAAGGATATATAACCTCAGCTGTAGGACTTCTTGATCCTTTTGGTTTGTATTGGACTGTTTGTCTGGGTTTTGTCTATTCAGGACCACAACATTTTCTCCTTTAAGGGATAGCTGGTCATTGCAGTGCTCTGGATCCTTGCTCGAAATAGCTCCTTATTGTTGTTTATTTTTGTAATGACTGTATGAAAGTTTGATTTTTTGGCATATCGCTTATGCATAGGGCCCAGAATCTCCAGCTCAGGATGGGGCAGGCTGCAGCCGTAGGCATCCTCCACCAGCAATTTCCTCAGTTACACAGTGCAGTGTTGTTTTGCCACTTATAAGTCTTCCTTTTCTCCCTGAGAACTAATATCCTTCCTCGAGAAATAAACTCGGGGTAAAGACTAGAGGCAGAAGAAATGGCAAAAAGAGCTGGGCTGCCACAGAGGCAGGGAAAGCCACCGAGTGCCAGAAGCCTTTAATTTCAATAGAGCAAAACATATCACTTGGGCAATATCAAAGTATATAATACTCTGGATTATAATATGTTTGAGGTTATATTCCACCCTTTGTGCAGGGAGAATGAACTTGTGTACGGTTGCTTTTACATTGGGGCAGATTCTTAGAGATCGGCAGCGGTAGGGGACAGACATCCTTATGGAAAAGAAGGGTCAGACCTGCCTCTTCTTCTGTGCTGGCAAGTATCACGCACACTGCAAGGTATGAAAAGAAAAAGGGAGATAATTCTGACTGTCTATGTCCATGTCTTTTTTTCAACAGCAGGTTAAAAGGCAGGATGGCAGCAAACCACTGCTCAAAGGAAAGGTTGCTCCCCAATATCTGGGGGAGAGAGTAAACTCTACAGTGTTCGTTACCTGGAGTTGCCAGTCACTTTTGGACAGTGGATTTAGTTCTTTAAAACTTCATATCCTTTCAAATCTGCTCAAATTCTGAGGAAGTCCCAAATATTTGAAAAACAATGTATGCAGAATCAGGGCCTCAAGAGAAGCAATATTGCATATTCTCACAGGGGAACACAGAAACCAACTGAATGATCTTCAAAAGAAAGGCTGCTCAAATCCATACAAAGCAAAATCTAAAGAGCTGATTTCAGCAATGATCTTTTCTTTGGAAATCTTCTGTACTAAGAAATAATCATGCCCACATTACTCAAAACCTAATAAATTTTGAGTTTGGTTGATTTCACTGAAATGTTTTGCTTTCCAACTCATGGATAAAGTATCTTTTTGATAACATCGAACACCATGTTTCATTGCAGGGGCACTGATTTTCAGATTAAAATCTGAACCCATTAAATTACAAGCCATGATTACAACCAGCTGAAATTCAGGTCCCGACACTCATAATATTATACAAATTAGGATCATGAAGAATATTATGACCTTGAAGCTATAAAAGACTGCAAATTTGCAGACATACCGTTTAAAATGCTTTGATCAAACCTAGGTCTAATACTTAGAATTCAGTGCAGGAAATAGTGTATGATGATCATTAGAAATAAACTGAGAATATGAGCAGTAGCATAGCACATCATAAAGCGTGCAGGTCAATTTATCTTCAGTTAGACTAAACAGACCTTATGGGATAAGAAAATGTTGGAGGTGCAAGATAAATGTGTAGGCAAAAGCTTACAGGAAACAGGTCCAGTACAACTAGCCAATAAATGACATCTTTGCCTTCTAAAAATTAAAATAAAAATCACATGGTCATATCTGAACACCTTAGTTAGATTTAGGCACTGTATATTATCAACTCAGGTAACAAAAGAAGGCTCAGATCCGTGACTGACCCTCTGATCATGTGGAAGTACCCAACTGCAAAAGCCCAAACTTCTCTTAAAACTTAGTTGCAGAACTTCAATAAGTTAGGAAAGCTTTGCCTCAGTAGGTAGTTTGGCAATCAGAAATTCTTCAAAATAATACTTACTTTTGATTTTACATATTTACTTTTTCTTTAACGCTTGTTCCATTTTCCTTTTCTATCCACAGTCACCATTTGAATATATTACCTATGTATAACAGTAGTCCTTGAACTTGCCATGTAATCTGACATACCTCTATGGCATTGTTCTGTGCATAGTCACTGAATTTACATTGTTAAATTACACTATAAAAAATCTTGTTATCAGACACTGTAAAAGCCTTATTTCTTTGGAAGAGGTTCCTTGGAAACTGTTGTTCTACCCCCAACTTAATTTCAAATTTGTTGCTGAGTTTTGCCTATGCGGTGGAAACAGTCTGTGCAGCAAACACCAAAACGTTGGTGGAAGCCCTGAAGTTTCAAGGCAAAAATCAAAGTATTTTGACTGAAAATTCCGTGCCATTCACCAAAGATGACAAGATAACAGATTGTCTTCTCTAAGACTGACTCACCACAGAGAAGTTCATTCCCAGTTTAGGTACAGTAATCACCATCTGAGGCAAGCACACTGAGTTCAAGTTGATTCCCTGAGCTGTGATTGTACTTCCACCACTAGGAAAAAAAAAAAAAAAAAAAAGGATGAGTAGGATAATGATACATCTGCTATGATAATCTTAATTACAAATTAAATTTTAGAGTAAATGACAACATCAAACCAGAATTAGGGATATATGGGGTGAATGCAAATACATAGCTTTGAGCAGTGAGATTACTTCTCTGGGAAATGAATTCTACACTTGCTATAACAACTAATCAAATACAAGAAAAGAAAAATAATTTTTAAAATTGTGGTATGCCAGGATATAAAACAAATGTGTACATTTTAAAGGAGGGTGTATACTTGTACTTAGCATTTGCTAACTTAACTTATTGCTTTCAGTGGTGCTGAAAAAGGTGTCTTTTTTACTCCTGATGTTTTTTTGGCAAAGGCAGATGGCTTGGATTAGAGCTACTGAGACCATAAATATGTCACTTAAAAACACACACATACCACCATACATATATATTCATAATATTTATGTAGCACTGGATTTAGACTATTTTAAAATCCATTTGCTCTCCTGAGTACCACTGACTTGTCACATTAAATGATTTGCCTCACTAATCAGTGTAATGCCCAGATGCAGTATAGGAGACACACTTAGCTGTACAGTAGGTATCTCAGCAGGACATCACAGGTAGGCTCAGCAGCAGCTAGGAGTTAAATCACATAAAGAAAAGAGGCACCCTTCCCCCTTCTCCTCCACCTCTGAAAGGAAATGATCTGCCCTCTGCAACTGCACCGTAATAGAAGCAATTGGCATGGCAGATAGAGATAAAAATGCAATTTCTTTTGATAGATTGCTGCACAGTGTAGCCATTCTTCTTTCATTCATTACTTTTATTTCTATAAGAAACTTTTACTCACCTAAGGAAAGATTTGGCTGGATGAATTTTTAAAACAACGGGGTCTTCTCTGTATGTGAAATGACCGCTTGCGTCTCGAATAGCTTCGTCGATTCCCACCCTCACGCGATATTCCTGGGGAATTCGTTGTGCCGGAGTGTAGCATTCCACAGTGCTCGCTGATATGCTGGAAGGACAGAAAAGGGCTTGCTTGTCAGCATTATAAACCTTGTATTTGGTTTAAAACACGGTCCTTTAGTGAGACCCAACCCCACCTAAGGATTCGCATGTAAAAAAAATGTCATTGATTCCCCCACTGGATGATCATATTGCAATAAATAAGCATGGCGTGAGGTAGAAACACCACCACCACCACCACTTAGGCTCAAGACTCATCTTCATTTGGTTGACTTGCACCTTGCCTGCTGGGAGGTGCTTCCCCAGTACTGGCAACAGCCACGTCAGCTCCCACACCCTGTAAAGGCAGCTTTCATCCTGGAAAACAACAGCACACTCCAGGTTTAAGGAGAATTACTTGTTCTGCTGTAACCAAGGGATAATGTCTTTCTCTTTCAAATCCATGGGATTTACCCTGTGTTAAAAACCTCAAGAAAAGGTGCTGGTGGGGGATGTACCAGCATGTCAGAGCTGTCCTGCCCTGGGGGCACCTGCTGACTCCAGGCACTGCTGAGGGACAGCAAGGAGAAGCTAGGACAAGGTGAAATTTCAGGAGGAGCTGGCTGAATTCAGCACAGCAGCAGAGTCTCTGGGATATTCACACTTCCCTTGCTCTGTCATGCTTGGCCTTGGAAGTCCTCCTCCCACACCAAGCTCAATGGGTGAGTGGGGAGTGGAGGGGTGAAGGATCCTGAAGCTTGAAGCCCGTGAAGTGTGGCTGCAGGGAGCAGGGCACATCAGAGGCAAGGGTAACAACTGGCTGGAGAAGCAAATGTAACTCTACCAGCTGGTTTCAGTGGTTTGGGCCCAACCACATCGCTCCAAGTGGGCCATTCTCAAAGGGCGTGAGAGATTTTCTCCAAATTAGACAAAAGGGGCATTTGCTGCCACTTCTGAAGCTTTCCAGGAAGGTGGGGCTCATGATGCACTGTAGGGGTTAGTGATTTGTTCATATGTATCTGGAAGCTTTTAAACACCTTTTAAAGGAAAAAATAAACGCTCGATCTAGCTGCCCTCAGAACTGGGGAAAGCTGCCAGTTTAGTAGAGAAACACCTGCCCTCAGAAACTGGCTAAGACCTGTGTAGAAGTCTCCAGACAACCTGGCTGGTGAGAAAGAGGGGTGCTGGGGATGCTTACTGGATCATCTCCAACTACGGTTCAATACCTAGAGGCCCACCTGACCAAAGCAGATGTCTGCCTCTGAGCAGGCTGTCATCTCACCCCCACAGGAGATGTCTCAAATGGATCAGATGAATCATTCCCAAAAGGTTTATATATCTGTCCCTTAGTTGACCAGCTGAGACGATGACATCAATAAATGCCACCCTAAACTATTAAGTAGCCACTGAACAGAAGCGCTGAAGATCTTGATATATAATAGCATATTTGAATACCTAAATCCCTTTCTCGATTTAGTCAGACTTAGCTGATTTGATCAAGAGCATACAATAAATCATTTAGCAGCAAAGAATAAAATTTAGCGCTCTGGACTTTGAGTCTGACGTTAACTAATAGGCTATTGCTTCCCCACATTCTCCACAAGTGTGATGTTTCACCACTATGACTTTCCATTATCAATAGCAGAGACTAAAAATGTAGAGGAATTACTGAACATCCTGTTTCTGGGACACAATGGGCCAGATTCTGCCCTTGGTTGCAGAGGTGACAATTCTGTTCACTCCAGCAGAAGCCACCCTGCTGTACCTGAAAACGGGATCAAGCAGGATTTGCACTGGATTTGATGGCAGAATGGCTACCAAATTCAGAATGCTTGTCTGCCCACAGCAGAGAATCTGTGCTTAGTATTCAACATTTATATTCAGCTGGGATGGAAGTCATTTCCACAGAGAGCATGTTGAAGATTCTTGACTCAGCTCCTACTGGATCCAGTCCAGAGCCACGACAAATTCTGGCTTAATCCTCAAAACAATTGTATATATACCAGGAAAAGTCCTAAACTGATGTTGCCTCTGGTTTGGAGGCTGTTCACTGATAGTAGCTCAGAAATAGCTGCCCCTCTGCATGGGATAGGCGTTCCCACACTGGCCAGGTTTCCACCGGACAAACCAGTAGCTAATGGTAACCTGCACCCACTGGACACCCACTGGGAGCTGCTGAATGAACAGCAGCTCTTGCTAATACAAGAGAGAGGACTGAGTGTGTGGGAGTCGGGGTGACAAAAATTATGGGAAATAAGCAGTTTTGAGTCCATTAGAAGCTGATTTGCTACTGATACATAACCTTTTAATGAGGTTAATGAAGGCATTACAGAATAAACAAGTCTTCTAGGGAACCGTAGTCCCTTCTAGGAACCTTTCAGACATCCTAAAGTCAGGATGTAATCCTGAACGGAATGCTTATTGCAGTATCAATCCTCCGATATGTAACAGAAGGAGAGGAGAGCAATGCATGTTTGCAGATTTTTTCACTTCGAGACATTTTAATCAAGCCATTTAAATATTAAATGCATCATGCTTTAGTGACTTCATTACCTTTTCAAGGTGCACAGTTTCTCACCAACAAAAATCCTTCTGGATTTTCCACTGTTCAGGTATTTTCCAGCTACAGTTAGCAATGTTCCTCCAGATTTGGGGCCATAAGTAGGATAGATACTTGTTATTACAGGATTCTGAGGGGGGGTAAAAATAAGAACAGTGGATTGTTACATTATTTTCAAAATGAGAAGAGGAAGAATCATAAAACACTTATTAGCATTTCCATGAAGTAATAATAAACCAAACAGGAATTACCATACTGGATTGTACTCATGAGGAGTCTCCTTCCAGTAAATATTGAAGCTAATTTTACAATAAAGTTTTAATCATAGTGCTTACCACGTACGAAAATGTATTGAATAGTGTTTTGCCGTGTCCAACAGAAACACTACTGGATATGTTAAAACTTGGATTATTTGCAGCAGGAACTGTGCATTCCAGCCTTTGGAAAACAAGGAAAAAGATGGGATTACATTTTTTTTTCTGGCTTAATTTTTTGTATTAAAACAGAACCAACTCAAACTCATAATAATGGAGGATCCATACTAAACAAATCATCAATCTGTGCGCATCAGGGACATTTCAGAAATAACAGCTAAAAGAACTCTGGTCATCTTCTTCAATACTAAATACAAACACTGTGGTGTTTATACTTGGCCAGAGAAAATTTTTTAATATACCAGATAAATTTCAGCAAAAAAGAAGCACGCTAGAGAAAACAAATACCTCCCATTCAATGGCTGAGCTGGTTTTTTGAATTTTCCTTTAGTGCCAAATTTTGGCAGACAACAGAACTAGAAAAAAATGTGTCATATACACAAGTTTGTTGTATAAATTTTAATATTATCACAAAGGAAAGTTGGACTTTTGCGGCAGCATATGTCAATGTATTACATTACATTTACACAGTCTCACGTATGAGCTAGTTTCCTTAAATCATTTTGTTTGCATTAATACTATTCAGAGTGGCAGTTAGGAGAGAGCTCAGTACTTCTGGTGGGTGACCTTTTTGTGGCTGAGTGTATGAATAGGGAACCCATGCCATGATTTACACATTGCTTTGGTAGTAGATAGTTATATGCTTTGAACGGAGAGAGGGTATTCATTGAACTTCCTATTTCTTCAAGATAAAAACCAGAATAACCTCTGTCTTAAACTTCAGCCATTATCCCACTGTCTCAGCGACATATTTCTGAGGAGGAGGAGGAGAGGTGCAGCTGAGGGTCATAAGCCTCTAGATGACGAAACACCTGCACCTTCTTACATTTCTCTCCAGCAGCTTCACAGATCAGGAAGAAGGAGGTGACATAACTGAGCCCAGCAGGATCCTGGCCAAAGGAACCTGCCCCCTTTTCAAACCTTTGAATAGTTTCATTCTTGCCAGCTCCCACAGATGTTGAACAGCGTTTCGCAGACAAACCAGAAAAAGCTGCTGCAGGAGCTATCGGCATTAACATTTATTTGATCTCCATTTCGAGCACTTTTTTCTTGGGGAGCTTATCAAACCAAGGGATTGCTTCCTGTCTGGAATTTCAGAATCGGAGGTGACACTTATAGACTCAATGTTTGTATCATAAAAAAATCTATATCGCATAAAGAACATCTATATAAAAGGAAATTCATACTTTAGGTTTCTTACTTGTTTTTGTTGCTAGATTTTGCTTCCAGAGCACAAATTTGTCCTCCAATATGGACTACTGTATTTTTTAATTCGAATCTATTATTTTTGCTGAATCCAAAGTCCCATCCACACAGTGTCAGTTTTGTCCCGCCTTCTAAGGGAGCGCTGTTTGGGAGAATCTGTTAAAAAAAAAAAAAAGTGTTAGTTACATCAGGTTTTCTTGAATTTCAAATGGAGTTAAAGAATGTGCAAAGGTATAATTTTAGAAAAGCATTTCTTCTGGTAGACTATGTCCTACCATTCATCTTAATTGTTCTTCACCTTTCATTTGTCACATTATGAGCTTTCTCTGACAGTAGCAATAAATAACAAAACCTATACTAGAAAGCTTTGAAGGATAGTGTTTAGGGGCACTGAACAAGCTGTGCATTGTAATAGTCTTTTAAATCCTGCCGTTCTTGTCTTGCACATCTTATTTCTGGCATGTAAAACATACAATGTACTTATTTTGTTAGAAGCTGAATGCTGAACACAAAAGAGCCCCAAAATGACCATTTTTTTGTCAGCTTGATGAAAGTCAGGTTCAGAATGAAGTAGCTTCAAAGACACCAAAATCCAATATTGCGTTGGCTGTGATAAAGTTAACGTGACTTCTGCTATTCTTTCCTTAAATCTTTTACATTTGGTCACCTCTAATTCCAAGTTAAAAAAAACCCCTACCCCTCAGAAACACAGAGACAATCTACAAAGGAAATGTGCTTTTTTTTTTTTTTCTGCATATTGTAAATTGTCCTGTAAAATATAACAATGGTGGGAAAAATGTAGGAACACTATAGAAGTCTTACAAAACTCAGTAAAAGTACTGGTCAGTACTGCCAGTGGGAAAAAAAAAAGAAAAAAAAAGACATTGGTTCAGGGTTTATGGAGACTTTTAACAATACTGCATAATTTTGCAAACATACCAGTACCACTGGACAAACAGAGAATGAAAGACTGAAGTTATATTTGTGGTCATAGTGCCTAAATGTCTCAGACTTAATGCTTTAGTGATAGTAATTTTGCCCCTAAAATGCAATACAGCTGTGCCTTTCAAAGGACCCGACTTCGTTTTCAAGCTGAAAGGAAAGTGTTTGAGAGATACTTGGCTATTATTTCATCTGGAAATCCAGTAAGACAGCACATTTCTTTTCAACTCTCTTGTAGCTATACTTCAAGACTCTCACAAATGAACTATTGTAGATAGAAAGGCAGCTGAAGAGTACTTCAAAAGAATTATACCATATATTCTATATGGGGAAATTTACTGCCCCCATTAGAAACCAGACAAAGAGTCTGATCTAAAATGCACTGAAGCCAGTAGGAATCTTTCCTGTTTTAATGAGCTTTGAATCAGCTCTGAATGAGCAAAGAAGAGGGAACCTATGCAGGAACAGTACTTTTGCACAAATCTCATAAAAAAGGAGTGATGCTCGCACAGCCCCCTGACACACAACACTCCAGCGAAGAGCGTGGAGCAGTACTGTATCCCGCGGAGTCTGTGCTATTCCCAAGTTTAACTTCCCCTAAATTTCTTTGTTTTTTTCTTTGAAATCTGGATTGACTTCAGATCCTAGTTTTCCACTCTACTTAGTATCTCAGCACACCATCTATTTTTGGAGTAACAAAACCCTACCAGAAACTGAAATTGCTCTGTGGGGGTACAGGATGTCTCATGTATTGTACAATAATGCATTGACGTGTGGCATTTGAAGAGTCTGAAATGTAATCCATAAGTTAGCAAAATAAGGGAGTTAAAAGCAGGCTTCACAAAGCCATACAGAATAAAAACTGAAGGCACTTAACTGGTTTTGAGTGATCCTATCTGCCAAAAGAGACTTGTGATAGCAACCCATGTGCCTTAACTGAGGGAAACTATTTACTGCATTCTGCCAGCAAATGTAGGAAGCAAGACTTCTAAGTAGATAGAAAATCTTACACTTTTTTATTTAAGTTCTGCAGAAATTCCCCCAGAGTGTTTGTATTAATGTCTTTATTTTTATTTCACTTGTTCTGTACAATGAAAACACTGAAAGTCAAATGTGGTTTTGCAGACTTTTTCTTGGGAGAGTAAATGGGAATGAATGGTGAACCTCCTGGACTTTCAACTGAGGAATACGTAGGCATCTTCTGTGTGCTTCCATCACGCAGGTAGTAATGGAAAGTAAGCAAAACCCAAATCCATTATAAATGTTAAGAAATTTAGGATTCAAAAGTTCTCTATAGCAAGGAAACTCCACCGATCAGATGGAGCAAGTCCTGCTGCAAGGCCTGATGTTCTGCTTCTCCCTGCTGCTCTCCGGACTTTGAGTTAAGGGAGAGAAAGTTAACTTTTTCTTTTAGGAAAAATTTAAAGTATTGTGTTTTTCCTTTGTTTATGTTGACAGCCATTATGCTAATATCCACTCACATACCTTATAAATTGTTGGAAGAAAGTATCTATTTATTAAAGTTTCAAGGGCCCATTCATTTTAATTAAGAGGCAAGAACATGTACAGGCCACATGTGAAATTTCCAGCAAAACCTCCAACCTAAACAGGCAGCAGAAGGCCCGATGTTCTTGATACATCGGAGATAAAAGCCAGCTAAAATGACTCACTTTAAAAACAACAACAAACCAGGTCAGGTTTGTAACCACAACAAAGAATCAAAAGGGAGACCAATTTATTTCTTCTTTTACGCCGTTCACCTTTCAGCGCGACCTGAGGGCCGCACACAGATGCCTGCAATTTGTTCCAGCACCAAGTGATCTCGGAGGAACCTCTTCTGAGTCCCACAGCTTTCCTCTCACACCACTGGCCCAGGCTGACAAAAATGTGCCTTCTCCTTGCTGGTGGAGGCGGTGGGTGGGAGTGGGGTACGGAGCCGAGGCGTGGGGTGGGAGCCGGGCTGTGGTGGGGACGTGTCCTGCACCATCGCTGCTGCGCTGGCTGTAGCAGAGGGGATGCCCGAGCAGAGCTGGAGCTCTGTGCTGCCCACAGGGCTGGGATGCGTGGGGTGGTCCCCACCACCCACGGCTCCAAGGAAAAGTGCTTTAAGCAGGGCAGAGAGATGAAGGATCTGCAGGACTCCACAGGAAAACGCTGGGTTTCTTCTCTGCCATCCCTCATGAGGGGAAAATTTTTTTTTTCCCCACTGTGCACCACTCTGTAATAACCTGGGAAAACTCTGTTGAAGACTCAGCTAACATCCATTGGATCAGACCATCGGAGAAGCTTTGTGTTCCCCTCAGGTTAAAGCGATCATATGACATACCTCAAACAATCTGTCCCTCCGAAAGCTGCAAAATACGAGGGGGGGGTCAGACTGAATTTCAGATACCATGCAAAGCAGGTCATCCTCCGTTTGTTAGGAACAAAACAAGCTTGTTTCTCATATTTTATGCATATGGGTTTAAAGACAGATCAGAAGATGATGAATAATCTGTTTTATATTTTTTTTCAGTAATAATGTTAAATGTCATGGTCCAGTAGAGCATGAAATCTGTCTTAACAGCTAGCAATCCAAAGGGATTTAAGTACTCAGCTGCATTTTTTTCCTTACAAGCCTTCTAGAAGCAACTTCTACCAACGTGGGCACGCTGTAATTCGAGATTCACTTTAAGATCCATCAGTGCCACAGATCCATATTCATTACAGGGGGAGACGGGGCTTGTGCTGAGCAGGCAGGGCTGAGCTATGCGGGGAAGGGGAGCACCCAGCCGGCCCCACGCCTGCTCCCACCTCCCCGCGTCCGAGGTGTGCTCCCCTGGATGAGTCGTCCCCGCGGCTTCACAGGGATGGCAGAGGTGGCCTTGGGGACACATCTCTGGGTCTAAGCATCTTTGCGCAGGCTCCAGGCGCTTGCTTCTTAAAACTGCTGAGCGCACACCCTCATAATTAAAATTAAGGAGGGTGAGATGAGCTCAGCACCTCCGAAAATCAGAAACTAAGCAGTTCACAGCCTTAGAAATCCTTTTGGAGGATCTGACAATGTACAGCCACTGCTAGAAAGTTTTGTCAAGAAAACATATTAAGGGATGCTACTTGTGCTTAAGCTCTTGGAAACACCAAACAAGCTATGCAGTATAGGTGTGAGCAGCTTAGTCCTGCAGAGGGATATAAAAATGTACATGAATCCTCAGTGTATCCCTCTGAATGGGTGATTCATAGTCTCATAGAAACTAAGGCCAAAAAGGGTGATTTGATTATTTAATACAGCCTTTTTGAAACAAATGTCTTCTTGTATAAAGGGAAAGTAAACTATTTGCATTCTGCATTAGCAATTTTTTTACATCTCCTTTGCCCAAAGGTAAATGGCAATAGAAGGCAAGGCAAACACACACTCCTTTCCATCTATTTTGGGTTTGATTCCTATAATGCTTCATTATTTGTTCATTGAATTTTGCCTGTGTTAGTCCTAAATTTTTTATCTGAAAGGTGAACGTGGAAAAGAAAAAAAAACAACCTGTAAACATGTGTTTCTAGCTTTGTTTCTAAATTATTAGCAGTTTTGCCTATTTACTCTTTAAAAAGTTGTTGTACATGAAATCATCTGCCTGGTTGAAAGAAATACATTATTTATTTAAAAACCACTTTTGTCTGCCTTTCTCTCTGAGAGTTCAGCATGTCAAATTTTATCTCCATTTATAAGCTGTATAAAGAAAAATGTATTTTTAGCTACGCGGCATAGTTGAAATGCACTAACAAAAGCACACGGGTGCTACCAGAAAGTTTTATGCCTGTCCTTCCCTCAGTTTTCCAGTCCGTTAACCGCCCTGTAAACCTCTACCTTCACGGCTATGTCACACTTCACACAGGACGATTGGGTTACACGTACAGCCGGCCACTATGGATCCCGCGTTAACCATAGCTAAACTAAAACAGGAACGTGCCGGCGCGGCTCTCTGCTCCTCCGTGAGGTTTTGTTCTCGTATACCCTTTATGGGCCTTGGCTGGCTGGCAGCCGCCTCCGGCTGTCCCCGTCCCAGGGAGGGCCACAGCTCGTCCCCCTCGGTGGCCAGCGGGTCCATGGGAACAATCACAGAATCACAGACTGGTCAGGGTTGGAAGGGACATCTGGAGATCATCTAGTCCAACCCCCCCGCCAGATCAGGGTCACCTACAGCAGGTTGGACAGGACGGCGTCCAAGAGGGTTTGAATGTCTCCAGAGTGGGAGACTCCACAACCTCTCTGGGCAGCCTGTGCCAGTGCTCTGCCACCTGCAAAGTAAAGAAGTTCCTCCTCATGTTTGGATGGAACTTCCTATGTTCAAGTTTCTGCCCGTTACCTCTTGTTCTATCGCTGGGCACCACTGAAAGGAGCTGGGGAGGGACGTTAGGGAAAAACATCTCCCTCAGGGTGGTGTTTGGGTTGACAGCTCTGTTGCAAAGCTGAGGTAGGGGAGAGAGGGACTTTTCCCCGCAGGAAAACCCCACTCTTTCATTCAAGGCAGGAGCTGGTATGGGGATGGATGAGGACTGGGGGCCGGAGACCTCCTGTGTTGGGCAGCTGCTGGTGGGAAGCACCTTCCTCCACCTCCTCTCTTTGAGAGGGGTCTGAGGGGAAGGGTGCTCCCTCTTGTGATTGGCCTTTCCCATCAGACCTGGGACGGTCACACAGACATGTCCACCATGAACCCCTGAGCCTGCAATGTTCAGGGACAGTACGTGCATCCAGCCAGAGCCTTTATGGATGCTAAGGCCAAGGGGAAGTCGAGGAGAGCCCCCACTTCATTTATCATAAGTGCACAAAAATAAACAGAAAACATTCACAGAGTACAGACGGCGTTCTTCCCTCAGAGATGAATGTGAGAAATCCAGCATTTTACCTCATAAACCCTCGGCAGGCAGGTCTCCTGGGTCCAGGTGCCGCCGGGGCACTCGGGAGACCTGAGGGATCGCTCGGTAGTAAGTTTCACTTACAGGAATGATTACTCTACGCAGCTATAGGTAAGGGCCTGTTTTATCCTCCCCCTGCAGCTAACATCCATCAAAGAAATGGCTTTCTATACATAGCCTGCTTTCCATGAGCTTATTTTCAAAAGGTGACCATCATTTTATGGGCACAGGTGACACCTGAACAATTTACTCTGGCGTTTTTTGTGCTTACAATCCATACCACGAATACAAATGTGATGAGCTGCGCACCAGACTGAGTGGCTGCTGTGCAGGCAGAAAATGGAGATGCATTTTAGCTACAAGCCTGTGCTGCACCTGCGGGAAGATTGGCTATGCCGGTGACATTATGTACCTACACAGGAGTAAAAAGTGAGGGACATTGCTGTAGGAGAACTGTAAGGGAACACACGGTCCCAATTCACTCCCCATGCCAATCTACAAGTAGAATAATCTCCCTGTGGGAATGTGAGAAATCCAGCATTTTCCCTCATAAGCCCTCGGCAGGCAGGTCTCCTGGGTCCAGGTGCCGCCGGGGCACTCGGGAGACCTGAGGCATCGCTGGCCGCACCAGCCACAGCGCATGAAGGGAGGCGCCAGCAGGCACTGGCTGCAGGACCCGAAGTGATGGCAGCCCGGCCCCGTCAGCGGGATCTTCGTTATCTGCCAGTGGAAAGACATGATGTGCGGATCCTTTTTAATACATGCACCAAGGCAGCAAGGAGAGTGTCTATTTATGCCACGTGCTGCAGTGATACTCAGGTTTCAGATGTGCAAGCTGCAGTTCGACTTCTCCGTAGCTCAGTAATTATAGGATCTTATAAGTAATTTAACTGACATGATTTTAAATTCGCTTGGGAGAAACCCTAAAGGCATCTTAATGTTATATACCGTTACTACCAGCATCTGGTGTTTACAGCAAGATAGCAGTTTTTGCTGATGGAAAAACAGCAGTGTGTTCCTCCCAACTCTGCACTAGTTCTTGGAAAAACCAGTGTGTCTCAATATGCCTTAATTCATACATTTGTAAAAATAGGCGTGATGGCTACCTTCAACTTTGGCGAGGCTGTATTAATATCTGTGACACACTTACACCATGTGACTACCCATGTACTTGTTTAACACCTACCGCCAAAATCCCTATACCATACCTAAAATATGAACTAAAATTTATATTATTTAAGATATCAGGATAGTTATGATAATAGTCACTCTAAATAAATTCCTTTTTAGTCAAAATATTAAAATTAGTATATAATTACATTACTACAGAAGTACATCTTACTTCTTTACATTTCAGTACCTTCCTTAAACTTATTTTGGACATTTTCTTCAAGATTACTCCCATAAATATCTCATACATTTCTAGTAAATGATTAATAACCATCTTTACTAATGGCTGATGTATTTCTGTAAATTCTTATAGAACTCAAGGGGTCAAATTATTGCTTACGATTATGGTTTAGGATTATCCGCAATATTATCTGCTGATGTTTTAAAGCCGTTCTACAATGTGTATCTACTTATGACAATAGCATATTTATGACAGCTCTTCATCTTTTATTAACCCTTTGTAGACTACACGCTAAAGCAATCTTCAAACCTTACTATGAACCCTGGCTCCCAATTTTAAACCCACCCACGTAACTTTTGCACACACACCCCTCCTTAAAAAGTTATAATGTTATGACACAAACCCACAAAAGCCAGGAAACTGTGAGCACCATTCTTTCCTTAAGCCATTGTGTGTTTTTTCTTTGCAAGCACTTGAATTAAGGACAGGGTTTCAGACTTAAAATTTGCATTTCCTGGCTTTTGTTGGTTTATATCACAGCTCTCACATTATTTAAACATTTCTCAATATTAGGCAGTCGGTTTGTTTAGTAGGGGCAAAAAAAAAAAAAGTCTTGGAGGAAACGTGCCCCCCCAGTGTTCCCAAGGGAATGGCAGGGCTGGGAGGATGCAAAGCATAAAGCAGCAGTGTGAATAGTTGCTTTTATTGAGAGTTGCTGCTCTGAAGTCAGGTTTACGCGGTGCACAGAGAAGGATCAGATTATGAACCACTCACCTTTTTCCCAGTCACTACCAGGGTATAGCCATCATCTGCCAATGAATTCTCGACAACAACTTGGGGAGAGACAGGGTGGGAGTCTAGCTGAAAGCTGACATGTGGAGCTGTGGGTTCTGAACGGGAAACCACTATCTAAGAAAGAAAGAAATTGGGAAAATCAGCAGGCGGCGTGTGACACAAATGCATGCTGCTCAGCGGTCTCGCATTCCTACCGCTTCTCTGCTTGCATTAATTACTCTGCATTACATTGCATAATATTTTGCATAATGTTCCATCATGATCTGATTAAAGCGCTATAAAATCTACTTTATTTAACACAGCAAAATCATGGCTGTTGGAGGATCCTCAAAATACGTCGTATTTATTAAAATACGAAGGAGTCCTTGCATGTTTTCTAGTCCTTTAATTTCAGGTAAAAAAGGAAGATGGGTCATTTAGTCAGCCCTGTACATTTAAGAAAGGAGAATTTTATCTGCAATGTCTGTTTAAAAGAATCTTAAAATTCCAGGCCTGCCAAAGTCAAAGATATTTCCATGTATTTTCACTTTGGCCCTTCAGTTTGAAAAGCAAACTTTACCCTGCGTCAACAGTATCTGGCCTTGATGCACGTGGGGCCACTAGAGTACAAAGCTATGGCAGGCGCAGGTCATCGCTGTGAACAGCGCCACAGAGCCACAAGTACACGGAGCTCGATTCCCAAAGCTGGGGGGGGTGGCTATTGCTGCAGGCAAGTTCCTTGCAAGACGTGGCGAGGCACCTCGAGGTCCGGCTCCTGCTGATTTCTGCGGGAGCCGGGTGTCCAGGACAGAGCCGCTTTGGAAGACAGTCCAAAACAGAAGCCTAATTTAGTTGTCCTGAAGACCCTTTGCAAGAGCCCTCTCTCTCTCTATCTCTCTCGATTTTAGGAGATCTTAGGGAGATTAGTCACACCAGTATGAAATTCCCCCACTAGTCATCTCTCTACATCTTGAGTTACCTAAATACTTCTGAGAATTTGGGCCTATTCCTGCAAACACACGCTTAACTTTACTACTGTAACTTTGTTGACTTTAATGGGATGAGTCATGGCTGTTAAGCACCGGCATAAAGCATCTGCAGATTGGGGTGGATATTCGATAGCGAGATTTTATAGGCTTGGGCCTGCAATCCAGAGGGATGTGCGCCCAAATGTGATAGCATCAGGCAACAAAGGCTGAAGATTGTTTACATGAGGGAAGATCATGTTCATGTTTCAAAAGCTGCATCATGTGTAGTTTACTTAAGGAATTTAGATAATCAACATTTGCTGAGGAGTTGAGATTCAATGGGGTTCATTATTTAAGAAGATCGAAGCCATTCTGGAAATAACTTGTATGTCAAATGTTTAATTTTTCACTATAATGAAGCTTTTCTTCTGACTCTGAAGGCAGCTTCAGAACAGCTAGGACATTGACTTACACGATTTCACTGGCTTTTTGCACTGCCAAGGTCTTTCAACAAGATGGCTGACTCCAAAACTAGACTTAGAGATGCTGTAATTACAGTTGATGTTTTGTTGTAATTCAAGACTTAAATAAAATATATGAGCAGTTAATTCATGGTGGCAAGTGCTTCACATCCCTGAGGTATTTACAGTTTGGAGTTACAAGAGGCTTTTTTTTCTTTAAAATGAAACTGGCTTTTTTAAAGCCTTTGCTATGGGTTTGTTTCACAGCACAGAAAGCTCAGCTTTTAGAAATCAATAAGGTCTGATCATTTTCAGTGACACAGAAGTATGGTCTCTGACTCAGTATATTAGGGCATGAGCTCTGTTTTTATATTCAGGACAATGAAAAATAGAATGGACTGCAAAGCTGCATGAAAAAGCTTGATTAATGTTGGCATTATGGGGAGAGGTAGCACCACAGCTGCAAATACCTTTTTAGTTGATCATTAGCCATGTCTCATCTCGAATACCCACTGCTATAAAATGCTAAGAATTCTTTTCTATCATTAATCCAGGCTTCCTCTTATTGCCAAGCATTCTTTCTGATTGAGCCACAGTGTTAACCCTTTAAACACATCTGCATTGCAACCTCAGAGCAATACATGATAATTTGGATTCCATCTCTACAATCCTGGAAAAATTATTCGGTACTTTAAATACTGACCGACCTTTATTTTACTGAGGCTGATAGTCAAATCACCTGCTGGGAGCCCAAGTGAGTAGACTTTGAGCTCATGACATACAGGGAGTTCAAATTACACTTCCTAGCTCGTTTGCGACTACAGAATAAAAGTTTGGAGCTTGCTTAGAACTAATCTACCAGCCTACAGTGCTGCCGTAACAGATACTAGAAGCAAAAATGCTCTTCTTGGTCTATATAACTCGTGCGGTTTTTGCACGCATCAGCCCAGTCCTTGAAATTCTATCTAACCCTTATCCAATATAATCCTGAAGAAAAAAGCAATTTGAAGACAGCTTCTACAGCAGGAAGAAGAGGCTGCTTAGGACTCCAGCGTTGTTCTCAGAAACCTCTGATTTTTATTGCTTGGGACTGGGCTGGTATGCACACAGTGTGGGTTTAATCTACTGTGGACACACCACCATCCAGGGGCTACTTCTACCGCGGAAATGGTTCAGTACTGCAGGAGGATTTCTTTTTACATAGACTATAAAGTACTGGTTTGTTTTGGGTTTTTTGGGTGGTGGTGGTGTTTTTTACATTTTGATTATTAATTTAATAACCAAACATTTCTCCAGAGCATAAGAGAAATGAAAGTATCTATGTGCCTGCACTCAAGCAGTTAGGAGAGAGGGGAAGTCTTGCACAGATAAATAATTGCCTAAAGAGAACAAACAGACATTAGCAGTAAACGCTCAGTCCTTGCAACAGTGAGAAGTCACCAGAGGTGTTCTGCAAGGTGTCTATGCTGGGATCCACACTGTTCAATATACCCATAAAGGAGATGGAAAAGTGGTTGAGCAGTCCAGTGACAAAGTTTGCTGACGATCTGAAGGTATTCAAGGTGATAAGAACGAGGACAGACTATGAAGGATGGCAGAAGGACTTTACAAGACAGCATGTCAAGGCAATAAAATGGCAGGTGAAATACAACAAAGAAGATGAATTTAAAGTGGTATATGATAGATAGTTCCATGAAAGCATCATCTCACTGCTCAGCAGCAGTCAAAAAAACCCCAAAACAAATAAGAACTTAGGACTTATTAGAACAGGACTAGAGAACAAATCAAAAAACATCCCGGTGTCATACAAATTCATGGCTTGCCCGAACCTTGAATTCTGCATGCAGTTCTGGTTGCCTTATGACAAAAAGAGTATGTTAAAATGGGAAAACGTTCAGAGAAGGGTGACAATGATGACCAGAAGGCTGTAATGAACAATGACTGAGTAGTGTAAGTGTGGAAATGCTGAGAAAAAGGCATACAGAATCATGAGTGGGTAAAGACTGATCGTTTACTCTCTTCTAATAAAAGTACTAAACACCACCAAAAGACAAAAGCGAGAGTCAGGTTCAAAGCAAACAAAAGAGTAAGACTTCCTAGCAATATGTGATGACCTATGGGACTCCTTGCTGAAGGATGTGAATGCAAGAGGAATACACACTCAAAGGGAAACTCCACATGTACATGGAAAGACCTACCAGACAAAACCCAATAGCTCTGGAAATCCCCAGAATGGAAAATAGTTGGAGGCTTGAAGCAGACAGTAGTACATATGTCACCTGAGTTCCTAGGCATCAACTCGTCAGCGCTGCTGGAGACAGAGCACTGAACTAGATGGACCCTTCATTTAAGCTCTTCTGATGTTCTTATAAATAACCCTTCTGAGAATCAATTCATTATCAGTAACTACAACCCTAGACATCCTTCTGAAAGCAAACACAATATTTACGTCCCTCTAAGTGAAAAACGAAAAACTACGTGGTCTTTCAGCATAGCTCAAAGTACTTCCATGAAGATAACAGCCAACAGTTAATTAATTAATATTAATTAATATATCCTTTATACTGGAAGCCAGTGATCACTTAGGTGCATGAACATTAAAATAATTCATTTAAATATTCTTTCATTGCCATCAGCTAGTATTATTGTTAAGTAAGAAGACTTGATTCTAGGTTCGCTTATGCATAATATGGCAAATTAAGACTGTAATAACTTGAGTTGAAAAACAGCATGCAACAGCTTCTTTTAAAAATCATTCTGATGTCAGTTCTGCTAGTCATCAGGATTGAATTACAAATGTTACTGTCTGCATGTTGAAATATCTTCTGCAAAAATGAGAGGCCTTCTAAAAGCAATCCCATCTAAGTATCATATTGTTATTTTTTCCCTAGATGTCTGGCAGGTGTAGGCCATTACCCAGCAGAGATAGGCTCAGGGTTAACTTTATTGTGTAACGCCTCAAATGCCCTGGGATATGAAGTGTAGCCTTGCAAAGGGCACATATGCAGCTCTCTAAATGCTGTATATCATTCTAATCCACAGAGAGTATAATGGATCTCCTCTGAAGGGTGTAAGCTTTTCGACTCAAACTGAATATTAAAACATGTGTGCTCTCAAAGCAGTTATTTGGCACCAGGTGTTAATTTTAATTTGACTATATGGATTTTGCATTATGCAATATTTGATATTTTTTTCTCGGAGCATCAAAACACATTCTTTACCACAGAAAGGACTGCTGTTATAAAACTGTTAAAAGTTGAGCTAAAGATATGAACATGACACTTATCAAGAGTTCACCACAGTTTTCTGTTAGTTTAAAAAGATAAAGGGGAAAGGACTGCAACTATTCGCATTTCTACAACTGCACGTGTGCATAGTTTGCATTTAGCCTTAAATAGGTCAGACTGCCAGTAGTGAAAAGCCAGGTGAATTGCTGGACCACAAAGGCAGGACAGCAGCGGCCACTGAGGACAACCTTTGCAATGACTCCATGGGCATCCCATGGAGTCATT